TCCTCCGCCGCGCAGGGCCGCGCCGGGTCGAGCCACGCGCCGCCTCCGCCGGTGGCGTCGCTTGTGTCGCCCAAGCGCACCAGCCGCACCCCGACCAACCCCACCGGCGCCCACCAAACCAACCTGTCGTCGCAAGCGCCCGCCGCCATGAGCCACGTGCTCCCGTTATCGAGGTATTCGCGGAATATCTCCCGACAGCCACTGACGCACGCGACTGGCCTCAGCAGCCGCATCCGGCAGCTTGCCGCTGGCCGACAGCCGGCAGCGTGCGCCTCGCGACGACAGCCGGCTCAGCGTTGGCGCTGCTCCAGGCAGCCGTGCTGCTCACGCCATCTGCTGTGCGGCACGCTCCAGGCAGCTCCTCCGCCGTGTCATTCGGATGCAGCGGTCGACGCGTCCGCGGCGACCAGGGCGCGCTGCAGAGACGCCACCAGCGAGGTCTGTCGCCGACAAACACACACGTCACCGATCAGTCCTCCTCCTCGTCCGACGCATCGTCGTCCTCGTCGTCCTCCAGGTCGAGAACGTACAGGTGGCGGGGCGCGGCGTACACGAGACACAAGCCGCGCTCGCTACCGACCGCCACATGTGCGATCCCGCCTCGCAGCTCCCGTCGCGACAGCGCAGCGCCCGACTCTGCGGAGGCAGTCGCACGTCCGCGGTCGCATGGTTAGCGTCAAGAGCTGCGTGCTGTTGCATGCGCGCACAGCGCGTCAACGCGGCGCGTGCCGACTCACCTTGCGACACGATGTCCTCCAGCTGGAGGGCCCCCTGCGACCTGCAGCTCTCCTCCAACGACGCCCCCGGGTGCTGATGCTCGTTGAGACACGCGTCCGGCACCGCGAGCACCTGCAGCGCGCCCCGGTCTCCGTCGACGGTCGCGAGGCACACCGCGCCCTCCTTGTAGAGCTCCGCGCCCGCCGCAGCGCCACCCTTCCACGCGACCGCCGCCGCCCGCAGGTCTGCGGTGAGATGCTCGCGGCCGCGGGCGATCAGGACCTCCCGGTCGCTGTCGTCGAACGAGACCAGCACCTGCGTCGCTGTGCTCGCGTCGTGCTTTGGATGCCGCGGCACGTGCAGGCGGAACACGGGGGATCGCAGCGCCGGTTTTGCCGCGATGGCGACGTTGTGCTCCGCGACGACCCTGGCCATGCGCGCCTCGAACATCCCCTGCGAGGGCACGAGCCGTGTGCGCGCACCGTCACAGTCAAAACGCAACGGGCGCCGCACGCGACGCAGCGGTCGTGCGAACAGATCGATCGCCCGAGCGTGCGACGTGGCCCGGGCGCTCACCGTCAGGCACCCCTCCGCCGTTTGCAGCGCGTCCGCCAGCTTGTGCGCGTGCCTCGCGAGCGTGCCCCCGCCCCTCGTGCCGCGCCCCGCCGCCCTGAGCAGCGCTTCCTCCAGCGACAGATCCTCGGTGAGCCGCACGCTGGCGCCCCGCGCCCCGCCCGCAGGCTGCCGCGCGCCGTCCACGTCCAGCTCCGCGCACAGCGTGTCCGCGTCGTGGATGCGCTCGATGATCGCGTGCACGCGCGGGAGATCGATCGCCGGGACGCCAACGTCCGCCTCGAGGTTCAGGCTCATCGCCGCGCCGAGCAGCCACGAGAAGAACGCCGTCCACGAGCGCGCCACCTCCGCCACGTGGGCCTGCTGCTGCTCGCACCGAACCAACATGCCGGCCAACAGGCCCTGCTCCTGCATCCACGACACGCTCGCGCGCGCTGCATCACGCTGCAGCCGGGGCCGATCCACCGCCACGCCAGGCACCACATCGAGCAGGGTGTCAAGTACATCGTCATGCGTGTGTTGGCGCGCGCGGGCGCCGCACGGAGCGCTCGCACCTGGGCCAGGAAGCCCTTGTCCATCCTGAGCGCCGCACACGCGAGGCCCTGCGCGCGCGAGGCCCTGAGGAGGCAGTCCTGCACCAGCGGGCGCACGCGCGTCACCAGGTCCTGGTGCACCCTGCCCGCCGCGGCCTCCATCGCGCGCGCGTGCCGCTTCAGCCGCTGGTCGCCGAGGAACGTCGTGAGCGCCTGCTGGACGCCGGGCGTGTGGTATCCCTCCTCGAGCATCCGAAGAAGCACCGTTTGCAACATCCCACACTGCAGCGACGCGGGTGGGTGGAGCGGTGGGCGTGAGGGACTGCACGGCGCAACGAGCAGGCCCACGGTAGGCGCGCGTGTCGCTCGCCGCACCTCCTCGCCGCTGTCGACCAGCAGCCGCTCCCAGCGCTGCACGTCGGTGGCGAACTCGTCCGCAGCGCCCTTCCACGCGCGGTGAGACTCCCGCAGCGTCGCCACCACCGCGTCCACGCGCCGCTGGATCTCGATCAGGTCCAGCGCCACCCGCCCGACCACCGCCACGTCGTTGCTCCCCAGCCCCGTGCGCGCCCCCCACATCCACACCGCGCGCTGCGACCCGCACAGCGCGGTGAGCGAGTCGATCGACCGCGACACCTGCGCCGTGATCCGCCCCGTCGCCCCGCGCGCCCCGTCGTCCCCCAGCCGCACCACGCACATCCGCACCAGCCCCCACGCACGCAACTCCACCGCTGCGGGGGCCGCCTGCGCGCCCGACGGGGCCGACGCGGCGGCGCGCACGAGCACCGTGAGAGCGTCCGGAACGTCCGACACGGAGCGCGGCGGCTCGTTGGGCGCCCACTGCTCCTGCGGGTCGTCGTACGGCCCCCCGGACCCGGACGCGCCGTTGTTCGACAGCGGGACCTCGAGCGGGGGAGCGGCCGGGAGACCGGAGCCGCCGACGCGCCCTACGGTAGATGGATTCCGCGCGCGACGGTGTTGGGAGCGCAACAACCGCTGCGGACGTCGTGGCGTGGCGAAGCAGCAGTCGGCACCGACAGCACAACGGATGGGCCGCCGTGCACTTGCCTGGGCCGAGCTCCGGGCCCTGCGTCCACGAGAGCTGCTCGGTGACGCCCCCGGCCTGGAGCGGCGGCAGGGTCGCCAGCACCTGCTGCGACTCGGCGTCGAGGAGCAACGTCCCGCCGCCCTCGAGCGCGCACGCCAGCACGCGGCCGCCCGGGGACCAGCACAGTCCGGCTACCTGCGCGTCACGCACGGGCGCGACAGGCGTGGGCGTTGGTCCCCGCGGGACATCTCGCCGCGTGTCGCCCGCCGCTACACACATGCCTGTTCCTGCGAGCTCTGCCACGCGCGCCGGGTTGGGCGCACGCCGCGCTGGCGAGCGGAACTACCTCGCGTGGAATTGAACGACCGTGTTGGCCGCAAGTGTCTCCAGGAAGAAGCCCGGGCAGCGCATATGGGGCGAGCGCGGGCGTTTCGCTGCAACACAGCGTCGCACCTTGGACTCTGGCCGGCTCCACAGCCTCTGGAAGTTCATGCGGTGCACCGCGAGCATGTCATCCTCGAAGTGGACCGCCACGAGGTCCATGGCGGGCGACCAGCACGCCGACCGGATCGGGGCCACCTGCCGCTCCACCTCCAGGTTGAAGCTGGGCATCGCGGGCCCCGTGACGCCCGCGGGGGGCGCTTGTACGTCTGACTGGGGATGATTCGATTCACTGATGCGGCAAGCTCACAGAGGTGTCGCAGTAGCGTCAGATGCCCCTCATGCCAGCGTTCAGTTGCTGATGCAAAGCAGAGCCGCTCCGCAGCCCAGCACGGGGCTCAGCGAGGCTGCCCGGTGTATGCAGCGCATCTACCTATATCGTTGCGCGCGTGCAGCGCGCCCGCGCGTCTCCCGGCCATTGTCCACGCCCCAGTGGCTCCTCGTGCAGCGCCCGCGGGCGGGTCTCGGGAGGGTCCACGTGCCGCCGAAGCTGGAAAAACACGCCGAGACAGGGGCCGCTCTCGCACGAGCTATAATCCAAGTGCACCATCATTGTGCGAGCGAGCCGGGTGGGGACGTGAACACGGAGAAGTCGCCCCACCACTCTATGCGGCGCAACGTTCGGTACGATCGGCGCCGAGGAAGCGAGCCACGGCCAGGGCGCGGCACCGCCGGGTGGTCCCAGGGACGTCGCCAGTCTGAGGGGCGGCGTTGCACCAGGGCCGGTCTCGCGAACAGATTGTGCACGGAGCGGGCGCGATCCAGACGCGGGTGCTTTCCGTCCTCACGCTCCGCCCGCGACGGACGCCGCATACGCACGAACATGGCATGGACCGCGGCGTCGCGTCCCAGCACTCATACGGCTGACGGCGGCGAGGGCCGCAGCAGGAACGCAACAGTGTGCGATCTCGCAGCGGGGCACTTCCAGCCGATGACCAAGGAGAGCCTCGCCGCTGAATCGGTCCTGCTCCTCTCCCGCCGCGAAGCTGACTGTGTACCGGCGCCCTCAGGAGCGATGCTGCTGCGGCATGACATGTCGGCCCACGCTGCCCTCATTGATCGCACGCTGTCAGCGTCTCGATCGACTGACAGCTCGCTGTCTCCAGCGCCCGCCGACCTCCAAGCCCCTCCTGCCCCGTAGTGCATGTACGAACAGGATCCCTCGCGGCGTGCGAGGCGATGGGCGCCATCCTCACCTGCTGCTGTGTCAGCGCTGGCCGCCGAATTACGCAGCAGCCCTGTCGGCGGCAGGGGCGCGAGCGAACCCCGCAGTGCTCGCCAACTCACTGTGTACGCTCAGCACGCCGCCGCTGCCCGCCAGCGCCCGCGCGGGGCGCCCCTGCCGTGCCGCACCCGGCGACGCCGCCGCGCAGGCGCCCCCGTGCCGCCCGGCCAAGGGCGAGTGACGGCGAGATCACCGGGCTTGCCTGTATGTGTACGACCGTGACGCCAGCGCCTCCGTGAACGCGCTCAAGCGAGTGCGTGGCCCGCTGCCTGGAGCATGCAGTGTACGGCAACACGGGTGTTTTGCAGGATGCAGCCGGCGTAGATCGCAGCCAGCGCCGCGTCTGCGCGGAGAGACAGAGAAAGAGGTCGGCCGTGCGTCGGCGCGTCGAAGAGGCCAGGCGGCGGGTCGACGTGTGCACATCTGCGGCAAGTGGAGAGACTGTCCCACAGCCACGCAACTATCACAGCTTGACCGCCAGATCGGGCCTGCAGGTGTTCAGCTCCAAACTCGGCCTCCACATGCGCGGCTGCGGTCCACCGAGGTGCTCGCGATAGAGATACACCAGCTCCGCTGGCTCCACGCCGTTGCCCTCGAGGTCCAGCGACCACAGAGTCGGGCTCGTTCGGGCGTGCTGCAGCAGGGCCTCGACCCCGCCTCTGCCAAGCTTGTTGTGCTTCAAGTCCACGTGGACCAGGCTCTTGTTCATCTCCAACGCTCTCGCCAGCAACAGGGCGCCGCGTCTGCAGATCTGATTCCTGCTCAAATCCAGCTCGCGAAGCGTGCACCTCTCATCGGCAAGGCTGTCCGCGAGACTTTCGAGGACCGCGGGCGTTTGGATCTCGCAAAAGCTCAGAGACAGGCACGTGATCACGCTCATGAGCTTGGACCGCGCCAGTGCCGCGATGCCGCCGGCGGAAATAGAGCTGCCGCTCAGATCGAGGGTGTGAAGTGCTGACATCCCGCCGCCGAGACCGCGCGCCAGGCCCTCCATCGCGCGGGCGCTCATGTTGCAATCTGCCAGACTCAGCTTGACCAGACGGTCGTTGTTGCGCAGGATTGCGCCGAGCGCCTCCGCGCCGTCGTGGTTGACGGAAATGCCACTGAAGTTAATCTCGCGCAGCGACCGGTTCCGGTCGACGGCGGCTGCGAGGTCGGCCCCGTTCAAGGCAATCCTGTCCATCGCCGGCATCTGCAGCGACAGCGACTCGAGCGTCGGATGGCGCAGCACCACCCTGACGATCGCGTCCGACACCCCCGCTTCGACGTTGTCGGCGCCCCACGTCGTAGGGAGGCATACGGACGTCAGCGACCTGTTGGCCGCAAGCGCAGACATGATGGCCAGCGTGCCTTCGATCCCCAGCGGAGCGCCCACGACCGACAAGTGCTGCAACGTCGTGCTGCGTCGAATGAGCTCCGCCAGCTTCACGTCTTCCGCGACCGGGCGACAACCGTCCGCGGTCAATCCATTCCAATTGCGCAGGTGCAGCGATCGCAGCTTCGGGCCGAACCACGCCCCCACGCTGTGCAGGTCGCACGCCTCGACCACCTTGAAGCTCTCCAGGTGCGGCGCCAAGGGCGGCTCGTCCTCGGCGCCCCACCCGTTCTCCCCCTCCGCCGCGCAACACGTCAGCTTGATGGCCTTGAGGTGCGTGGCCCGCGCCAGCCAGGCGCGGAGCATCTGCACGCCCGCACGGTCGAACGTGAACCCGCGCAGCCTGAGCTGCCGCAGCCCCGGACACCCGCGAGCCAGGCGCACCGCCGCGCCGCCGTCGCACCGGCCCCCGCCGTCGTGAATGATGGTCAGGCGCGCCAGCGACGGCAGACCCCGAAGCGCGTCCTCGTACTCCTTGAAGACCTCCCAGTCTCTGGCGCACACGCCGTTGAGGGTCAGGGAGCGCAGGTGCGCCCTCACGGCCGGGGCAGCCAGGATGGTCTGCAGCGCCATGGCCTGCAACGCGGCGTCCGCGTCCCGCGCTGCACCCCGGTCGAAGGAGAGCGGGACTCCGAGCCCCGTCACGCGCACGGCACCCTGCCCGGCCGTCACCAGGCTCCGCACGAACTTCGCCCACTGCGCAAAGCTGATGTCGCGTCCCTGCCGCCCGGGGTCGTCCGCGCGCACCTCCCGCAGCGCCTCGAGGAACGCCGCCGCGTCTGCCGCCGACACGCGGACCCCGCAGTACACAAGTCCTCCCGCGGCGTCGCCGCTCCCACTCCCCCCTGCCGCCGTTGCGGCCGCCCGCCGCGCGAGCCCCCACAGCACGGGCTCCGACGGGTGCACGCGAAGCCGCGCAGTCGTCCCGCGCAGCACCGCCTCGAGCGTCCCCCAAGACGCCGCCGCGAGGTTCTTCGTGTCGTCCGCAGCAAGCTTGTCGAGGAGCCCGGGCACGAGCAGCACGTCGGCGAGCTGCAGGCCCGCGTTCCTGCGCGCGTCCAGCGCCTGCGCGGTTCGGGTGGCCAAACGCGCCGGTCAGTGACGGAGTCCGACGCGTGTCATCATTCGCGCGGGGGACCCAAGCACAAGCGCTGGGCTACGCAGGGCCCTGCGCAGACCGCTCCAGGCGCGGCGGGGCTCGAGATGGTGGTCGGCGGGCGCGTCTCTCACCATCGTTGCTGGCAGAACCTCAGTCAGCGGGCTTGGTCCACCGGGCGCGTCGCGGCCGGAGCCCTCTTCCACTCCTGCGCGCCACGCAAGGATTGCCGCAGCGCCGCCCTCAGCCGCCAGAACCGCAGCCACGGCTCCCCGGTCGTGCTTCTGACGATATGAACTTCGCCCTCGATCACCTCCTGACTCCCGACACCGCTCCTCCGCGCTGCCGAGTCCCCCAAAATCAACCTGCAGTTGAGTTTGCGCGACGAGAGCCACTTCAGCCGACGCATGTGCCTCTCGACCACGCTCGCTCGCGCATTGCGATCGCTCCATCGCGTCGAAGCCTTCCCAACGCCCTTGACGACCGCGAGCACGCCGCTCACGGGGACAACACCAGGGCACTGCCTTCGCAGCGCGGGACGCACCTGGCGCTCTCCGTTGTCAGACCCGCTCGGCCCGCACGCGTCTTCAGTGTGTCAACAACGCAATCATGCCCTGCGCGCGGCGCTTGCGCGCCCCTCGGGCTCCTCAGCGGGCAGTGCTCGCTGGGGGGGTGAGCACTTGACTGTGTCAGCCCGACATGATGGAGGCGCCGCACGAGGACGCACGGGCGGTCCTGGCGCACGCTGCGCCTGCACAGCCGCAGCAACGCGCGCGCGGGGCCGCCCCACGACCGCAGGCCCCACCGCTGTGCTTTGTGTCTTGCGCGGGGCGTGCGGTCGAGGGCGCCGCGGGTCGCCGCCGCGCTGACCATGGCGTCGCAGCAGCGGGCGGTCGCGGTGCCGGGGCACGTTGTGCGGCAGGAGCAGGCACGGACCAGCTCTCCGTGTTTCACGCACGCAGCACGCCGACGCTGCAAGCGTCCCCAGGGCGCAGCGGGCACGAGCCTGGCCCGCCGTGGCATATTTCCGTCCCCCCGCTCGTGATCCACGGGCGGCAGCGAGTCTCAGAAGCATCACAACTGCGGGGTGCTGCCCCTATCGAGAGCGCGGCGAGGTTCTAGGGCCGGCCTTGATCTGCCTCCTCGCGATCGCGTACCTCTGCGCGTGCAACAGCTCAGCGCCCACCGCAGACGCGCTCCGAGTGCCAGACACTCCCCCCCACAGCAGCCTGAGATGCCGCAGCTTTGCGTTCTCCACAAGCGCCTCCGCGAAGCTCTCCCTCCCGGCGTCTGTCAGCGAATGGCTTGGGATTTCGAGAGACTCCAGCGATGCGTTGCCCCTCAGCGCATCAGCGATCGCTGCCCTGCCGGAGTCGTCGATCCGGCAGCGGTAGAGCAGCAAGTTGTGCAACGTGCAGCGGCTGCTGCTGAGGAAGCTTGCAATGTGTCTCGCGCAGCGATCGAAATCGACATGGATGTCGGAGATCTCCAGGGTGCGCAACTTCGCGGTCCGGGGACGGTCGCTGACAGCGTTCAGGATACGCCGGATCCACGCAGGGTCGATTTCCTCAACTGCCGAGTCGAGGCGCAAGACCTGCAGCCCACGATTCTCCCGGAGGCCGTCCGACAGCACCGCGACGCCCCTATCTGTCAGGCGGCAGACCCTCAGCCCGAGCTCGGCCAGCGCGGTGTTGCGCCTCAGAGCGTCACTGAGCGATTCAGCGTGCTCGTCGCTGATTCCGCAGTTGTCGAGCTCCAACACACGCAGCGTCGTGTTCTCTCCGAGCGCGTTCGCCACCGCCGGAACGTCGAAGTCGGGCCCCGAGTGAAAATTGTCGCCCTTCAAGTGAAGCTGTCTCAGAGTGGTGCCGCGCATTGTCGCGACCAGCGCCTGTGTCACGGTCGAATGCCCGCTAAGGCTGCGCTCGTACGACACGTCGAAAACCTCCAACGTGCTTTTCGGCAGCGCTTGGATCACTGCAAGGGCGTCGTCGTCTGTGGGAGAAAGAAGGGGTTCAAGCTTGAGCCGTCGAAGCGCCTCGCTTCGTCGCATCAGCTCCGCGACTGCCCCCCAGCTGTCATCAGATTCCGACCACGCTGGTCCGAACTCGTCGTCGTCGCCCAGCTCCAGCGTGTGCAGGTTCGTCGCCTCCCGCCAGTCATACGGAAGGTCGCTGTTGACCGCCACGACCGCCGCGAGGTGCGCCGGCGGAGGCCTCACGAGATTACGGCACGCTTCCTCTTCGAGCGCGACATACTCCAGGCGCAGGTGCCTCAGACGCCGGGCCGCGTCGAGGCCGTCGAGGAACGCCCGTGTCTCGCCCGGGCCGTGGAACACCGCGTTCGAGAGGCGCAGCGTCGCGACGGTCGGGCGTGGGCCTGCCAACCACGCGCTGGCGCAGTTGCGGCAGTGCACGAGGTCGACGTCGAGGTGCTGCAACGCCGCCAGCCCCCCAATGGTGTCGAGAAGCGACGCGACGAGCGCGCCTCTGGGCCGGTCGCCGTCGCCCACACGCATCAATGAGATGCTCAGGGAGCGCAGGTGGTCCCTGACGGCCCCCAGCGACAGCAGCCGCTGCACCGCCATCACCTGCGTCGCTGCCCTGCCGCTGTCGCTCCACTTCGGGACGCTCAGCCCCGTCACGCCGGCCCCGCTGCCCTCGGCCCGGCTCGCCAGCGCCCACACCAGCTCCATCCACAGACGGTTCCACTCCTCGTCGCAGTCGCTGTCCTCCGGCAGCATCTCGCGCATGTCTTGCGCAGCCTCAAGCAGCAGCCCCGCGTCCCTCGCCGCCACCCGAACGCCGCACAGCGACACCTGCCCCACACACGGGCCGTCCTCCGTCCGCCGCGCCAGCACGTGCAGCGCCGGGTCGTCCGGGTGCACCTGGAGGGTCGCGCGGCACCCCCACAGCACCGCCTCCAGCGTGCTCCATCGCGCCGCGGCCAGGCTGGCCTTGTCGACGTCCGGGAGCATGTCGAGCAAGCGAGGCGCCTCCCGCAGTACGCGGTCGAACAGCTCACCTCGGCCGCCAGGCTCCTGCACGCGACGGCACAGAGCCTCCACACATGAGGGCACCGAACCGCGGTCGTCCGGGGTGCGCGCCTCGCGCCCTGCTCAAGCCGTGATCGCATGCACAAGGTCCCAGCGCGTGATGTGCATGCATGCGTCGAAGCGATGTGTTCCGGGGGCAACATCATCATCGCACCATCTGTCGACGCATCGTCCCGCGTTGGTTGGGCCGACCTCGGAGCAAGCGCTGCTCCACGGCTCTCGAGCAGGCCCAGTAGGTCCTGCAGCAGCCGCCGCTGCGAGCGCCGAGCGCGTCGATTCCCGCGCTGCTGGGTACCACGCAACGCCCGCGTCCAGCCAGAAGCAGTCAAGAGGGCCGTCTCAGATTTGCACGCCACTCGCAGCCCCTGAAGCGACACAGCGGGGAGCGATGTGCGTGTATTGGAGGTCGAAAACGAGGTCGACTCATGCGCATTCGCACCGCAGCGCATGTCCAAAAGCTCTGGCATCATGTTGCTCAACACGGTTGATGGGCCCGCCGGCCCGGCGCGGACATGCCGCACGATGTAGCACGAATTGCAGGGGCGGCCACACACGCCGGTCTGCAACGGAGTCGGACGCAACTCATCGCGCAGGGAACCACAGCGCTGCGGAAAGCGCTCGTTCCAGGCGCGGCGGGGCTGGAAACGCTGGACGGTGGGCGCATCTCTCACCTAGTAGCCTTGCAGTGAGACAAGCACCGTGCTGGTTCTGCGACGGGCTTCGTGGCCAGGCCCCAAGCGAACCCAGGCGCAGTTCAAGGGGTGCCGCGGCGCCGGCCACAGCCCCCGGAACCGCAGCTCAACTCCAAAATCTGCTCCTCGTGATATGTACGTCGCCGTCGATCACCTCGCGACTCCCGACACCGCTCCTCCGCGCTGCTCAGCACGCTTCAACCACCTGCAATAGAGTTTGCGCGCCCAGAGCCACTTCAGCCGACGCACGTGCCTCTCGACCACGCTCGCTCGCGCATTGCGATCGCTCCATCGCGTCGAAGCCTTCCCAACGCCCTTGACGACCGCGAGCACGCCGCTCACGGGGACAACACCAGGGCACTGCCTTCGCAGCGCGGGACGCACCTGGCGCTCTCTGCTGTCAGACCCGCTCGACCCGCACGCGCCTTCAGCGTGTCGACGACGCAATCATGCCCTGCGCGCGGCGCTTGCGCGCCCCTCGGGCTCCTCAGCGGGCAGTGCTCGCCTGAGGGGGGGGTGAGCACTTGCCTGTGTCAGCCCGACATGATGGAGGCGCCGCACGAGGACGCACGGGCGGTCCTGGCGCACGCTGCGCCAGCGTCGCCGCAGCCACGCGCGTGCGGGGCCGCTCCAGGGTGGGGGGCCACGCTTCGTCTGTGTCCACGTCTGACGCGAATCGCGGTGTCTGGCACGGGACGTTCGAGGGCGCCGCGGGTCGCGCTGACCATGGCGCCGCAGCAATGGGCGGCCGCGGTGCCGGGGCACGCTGCGTGGCAGGAGCAGGCACGGGCTACATTTCCCGATGGCGCACACAAAGCAAATCATCAGCGTGCTTGTTACATGCTGGAGCGACACGCCGGGGACGGCCACACGCGGATCGGGCCCAGTCCAATGCACACCGGCCTTGCAGGGAGCCGCAGAGTACGACGCAGCCGATTACACGAATCACTGAGTCGCGAACGCTGCCATTGCAGCCATCATTTCCGGTGGTGGAATACACCCTGGTGGAAAGGACAGTCCTTTTGCCCCCCAGTCCACGTGACAGGGCCTCCTGCCGGGCGGCGTAAACGCACTGAACGTCGCCGGACTTGCGTCGATGGGCTGCTGCTGCTCGAGACGCAGCACACTGAGCGTCGTGTTCCTGCGCAGCGCTGCCAGCAGCGCTGCGGCACCGGCCTCTTGAATGTAGTTGTCGCGGACGTCCAAGGCCACGAGCGACTTGTTCTCGCTCAGTCCTTCCGCCAGCGCCTTGGCACCGTCGTCCCCAAGGCGGTTCATCGAGACGTCCAGCTCGCGCAGCGTGCATGTCTTGGACGACAGCAGGCCTGCCAGCCTCTCCGCGCCCGCCTTTCTCACGTTGCTGTTGCTCAACGACAGGTGCGTCAGCTGAGCCTTGCCCGTGGCACTCCACAGCCCGTCGAGAAGGGCGCAGCATTGTGCGTCGCCCCACGAGTAGGCGGAGAAGCTGAGGGCTCGCAAGCTCGTCACGCGCGAGAGCCCTCGCCCAAAAGCCAACAAGCTCTGCGGGGACGCATCGCCTCCCATGAGTGCCAGGCGGCGGAGCGAGCGGTTGTGCGCGATGTGGCCCCCGAACGCCTCCAGCTCGCCGCCGTCGCATTTGCACCGCGGGAGCTCGAGCACCTGAAGCCCCCTGTTGTCCTGCAGCGCTTCGGCGATGAGCTGCACGTCGGGGAACTCCACCGGCTCGTCATCAGACCAGCTTTCCGTGACCTTCAGCTCCTGGAGGGTGTGGTTTCTCCGCACCACGTCCGCGATCAGCGGCGCAAAGTTCGCGAACGACAGCAGGCACCGGGAGACTTGCAGGCGGAACTTTCGCACGGACGTGTTGTGCGCCAGCGCGGACAGCAGCCCTGGAATGGCGGATGTGGCCTCGTCGACGTCAGTCGCCCCCTCAGGGTACCACTCCGTCTGCACATCCACCTCGCATAGCGCCGTGCTCGTCCGCAGCAGGTCCGCCAGCGCCCGTGCCTTGCCCGCGTCCATCTGGTCTGCCACGAGCTTCAGTCGCCGCAGGCCAGCCACGCCCCACCACGCACGCCCCGCCACCCAGCTCCACTCGACGTTATCGCTCGCCTCGTACGACTCCAGCCGCCCGAACGGCGTCCGCGGCCCTGACCACAGCTCCTCGTCAGCAACCTTCACCTTGCAACCCCCAAAGGCGAGCTGGCGCAGGTCCGGAGCTCCCGCCACCCAGCCGAGCAGCTCCTCCGCCGCGTCGCCCTCGACGTGCGCCCCGCACAGCTCCAGCCGCCGCAGCGACGCGCACTCGCGGACCAGCCCCACCAGCGGCGCACCCTCGTCCCGCGCCTCGACGGGCGCAAGCACCGTGGTCAGCCTCAGCCCCTGCAGCACCGCCAGCTCCCGCAGACTGCCCTCCAGCGCCCCGAGCGTGTCTTGCCGCAGCCCCGCCACCCACAGGTGCCGCAGGTGCTCCCGCACCAGAGGGTGCTGCAGGACCGACCGCAGCGCCAGCAACAAGCCCGCCGCTACGTCGCCCATGACCCTCAGCACCGGGACGCGCAGCTCCGTCACGTGCAGCGGCCCCTCCTCGTTCCGCGACGCCGCCTGCAGCAGCCGCCACACGTACGCCGCCCACCTCACGATCGAGTCATGGGCAGCGTCCTTCGCCGCCGACCCCTGCAGCGCCGCCAGCAGCGGCCCCGCATCCGTCGCCGGCACGCACACGCCCCTGTACTCGATCTGGCCCCGGCACTCCCCGCCATCCAGTCGGCGTGCCAGCGCATGCAGCACCGGCTGCTGCGGGTGCACCTTCAGCGTCGCGTCGCTGCCGCGCAGCACCGCCTCCAGCACGCTCCATCGCGCCGCCGCCAAGCTCGCCTTGTCGGCGTTCGACACCCTGTCCAGCACGCTCGGCACCTCGCGCAGCACAGCATCGAGGAGCACCGGCCCGCGCCTTGCGCGCCTGGATACCTGCGTGCGCGGTGGGGAACAGTACACAGCATGTCAGAGAGCGTGTGTCTCAGCGTCGTGACGATGTTGCAGACGCGCAGCGCGCCGTTCTCAACGACTTGCAGGGGCACAGAGAGCACCTCGCGCCTGGCCTCGACGGGAGCAATCACCACGACAAACGCGCCTTGTCTCACCATGATCGTCAATGCGCTTCCGCTCTCAGCCGATGTAGCGGTCCCCGCGCCCTGTGGCCTCCGTGCGAGCCCTGGCAAGAGATGGATGCGTCGCTCCCGCCCGCGTTGCAGCCGGACCGTGTCGTCCGCGTCCCGCGGCCTTAGCGGACGTCTTGTCACGTACAAGAGCTCCCTGTCCACGCCGGCTGGTCGCGGCACCTGCGTATCATGTGTGCGAGCTTTCAATGCTGAGCGCCGAATGATTGAACGCGACACGCGCGCAGCGCCCTGTCAAGCCCGCAATCCAGACATCCTACAAGTCTCTGGGTCCTTGAACATGCAACATCCCCGACAGCTCAACCGCAGCGCATTGCGACCGCCACCGGGGCCGCAGCGGGCACGGCAAGCACTTGGCAGCGGCGGAAACGGGCGGGACGCGGTCAAGCGACTCGCCTGCGACCTGGGCCTTGACGAACGCCTCCCCCGTCTCCCCAGCACGCCCGATGTGCTCCGTTGCCCCGCAGCGCGTGGCCAGAGAGCCATCGAGGGCAGCGCACGGCCCGTCCGACCAGTCAGTCACACAACTGACACGCCACATGGCGTCAGCAGCAGGTTGGGCGCGCCCAACGCCCTGACAAAGAGCATGACCACCACCGCGGCGGGCCCGGAGCACGCGGGGGGCGGCCTCGCGGCTCGCAGTCGGTTGCTTCCATCGGTGCGTTGTCGCGCCCGCCATGCTCCGACAGATCGACCACCGCCGCACGTTTGTCGCCGCGAGTCAGCTTCCGCTCACATCAGCGTCCCGCAGGAGCCTACCGGTCCGCGAGCAAGATCCTGTCGCTGTTGCCGCTGTGCATGTGGCGCATTGCCCTGACATCCGCGTCGTTGAATTTGTTCTCACGCAGATCCAGCGTCTCCACCGTTGCCGCCTCACGCAGCGCCTCCGACAGCGCCATGCCACCCGCGCCGGTGATATCGCAGCAACTCAGATCCAGCGACACCAGCGTCGCGCTGTCCGCGATCGCCACCGCCAGCGCCTTCGCCCCCTCGTCGCCGAACGTGTTTGAGCACAGGTCGACCTCGCGCAGCAATGTGTGGTTCAGCACCGCCGCCAGGCACCTTGCCCCGACGCCGCCGATTGCGCAATCGCGCAGCCCGAGCTTGCGGACGCCCGACCGGGGCAGTGCGGCCGCCAGCGCTGCCACGCCGTCGCAGCCGATCCGATTGCCGGACATGTCCAGCTCACGCAGCAGACTCGTCCGGGCGAGCTGGGTCGCGAGGTGAGAGGCTCCCACCGCGGTGAGGCCGCTGCACTGACAGAAGGTCGTGATCGAGAGGCACTCGAGACCTCTCTCGAGCAGGACGCCTGCAAGAGCCGCCGCGCCATCATCATCGACGCGGCATTCATCAAGCACCAGTTTGCGCACGCCGCTCTCCTGCAGGGCTGCTGCCACTGCAGCGAAGTCGAACGGGCACTGGCCCGCATTGTGGAGCGACACCTCCCTTACGCGCTTGCACCGTCGCAGCAGCCCCACAAGCGCGCTGGTCAGCTCCGCGACGCTTCTGCCGTACCGGCGCACCCGAAGGTCGAGGACCTCCAGGCTGCGACACTCAGCTGCCGCAGCTAGCAACGCGCACGTCCCCGCGCCGTCGTAGTGGAAGCTAGCAGTCTCACCCGTCGTGAGTTCCAGGTGCTGGAGCACCTGACTCCCCTGAATAGCGCTGGCCAGGCGCCTTGCATCCGATTCGAAAAACCAATCGACGTACTCTCCGCTCGGGTCAGGTGTCTGCGGCGCCTCCACGTGGCGGATCACGAGCTTGCGCAGATTCGTGACCTCGTCCCAGTTGTCCACCCAGGGCAACGTGGACTCCGTCGCCTCGAACACCTCCAGGCTGGGTGGAAGGCGACATGGTATCGGATCATGCTGGGGGTTCAGCGAGAAGCTGCAGGTCCTTATCGTCAAGACGCGGAGCTCCGCGGCGCCCAAGAGCCACTCCCCGAACAAACGCGTCCCCTCCGACCCGAAATGCGCGCCCGACAAGTCCAGCCGGCGCAGCCCCGGGCATGTGCGCAGCGCGCGCACCAGCTCCACCCCGCGCAGGTCCTCGTCGTCGTCGCAATAACACGCCGGATCGACAAGCTCCAGGTGGCGGAGCGCCTTCAGGCCGCGCAGTGTCTCCGCCAGCTGCGCCTCGTCCCACTCGCGTCGCAGCCGCAGACACCGCAGCGTGTCCCTCACCGCCCTGTACCTGAGGACGTGCTGCAGCACCGTCATCTCCGCATCTTCGGTGCCGGACAGCGCGAGCGACCGCAGCACCAGCCCCGTCAGCAGCGGCGTGTCGGCATCGGTGCTCTGAATCAACCGCAACATGAAGTGCCACCACTCCATCGACAAGCGCGTGTGGCCCTCTGGCGGTGGGGCCGCGATGTCGGCGAGCGCTGCGTTCAGGACGTCCGGCGAGCGCGCCCCCGCCACCCCCACGCCGCAGCACTCGAGGGTTGCCCGCACTCGCAGGCCCCCAGTCCTCACCCGCGCCGCCAGCGAGGCGAGGAGGCTGCCCCCGCGGTCCACGCGCAGCGTCGCGTCCCTGTCCTGCAGCACCGCCTCCAGCGTGCTCCACGACGCCGACCCGAAACTGGCCTTGTCCGCCGGCGACAGCCACGGCAGCACGTGGCCCGGCACCTCCCACAGGACCTGGTCGAACAGCGCCGCCGCGCCGCTCCTCTGGTGATCCTGCATCGCGGGCGTCGCAGAGAAGGGCAGGTGCGATGTGTGTTCGCCGAGCTCGCGAGCGCGAGCAACTGCCAGAGCACACTGGCTCGCGGGCGAATCGCATGCGGTGCAGACAACCAGCGAAGGGCGCGCACCATGTTTCTTCAACCAAGTCCTCGCGACGAGGACCCTTTGTGGTACCACCAAACGCCTGTGCCACGGGCGCACGAGCGGAGCCTCAAAAAGCAGGGAGCTGCCCCGCGATGCTGGTCTCGCGTGGGCCTGGCGCCTGTGTTGCTGAGAAACGTGCTCTCAGACGCTTCAACGCCACCGCGACGCACAGTGCGCCTTCCGCGGCGCCGCTCTCAGCTCAGCGGGGCCCTCGCGCCAAACTACCTGCGCGACAGGTCGCCCAGAGGCACGTCAAGTCAGCAGCTGCATCAATACCACGCCTTCCGCAGCGTAGAACTCCATCTGAGAACCGACGACATCCATGCATATCGCATTGTCACGCACCCAGTCCCAGCGAAATGCACACTCAGAGCAGGGTCACCGCGGCGCCACGCACCTCTCGCTCAGCACCGCGGGCGTCGCGCGGGTGTCTCTCTGCGAACTCACGTCCGTACAATGTTCTGTCCCATGCCTGCGGCCCATGGCCCCCTTCGGCGCCGAGCGAGGTCCGACCTGAGAAGACCACGTCAGACGCATGACAGCCGTCGGGCTGGCAGAAGACATGGCGTCTTACGACACTGAGACCGGCCTTGCAGCGTGCATCCATGTCAAAGCACTGCTCGGGCCGGCTGTTCCAGCCCGCGGTTCCAGCCTCGTTCGACCGGACTGCGGCGTTCCCTGTGCGCCACGCACGGGGCTGCCAGACGGTATCGTGCCCCACACGAAGCTGCGCCAGACGCCGGGCGCCCGCGAGAAGTTGACGCAAGCGGGCCGCGACGTCCGGACCACGTGCGACGTTGATTGCATGACGGGAACACCCCTGCAAGGAAACATGGAGGCCTTTTCTTGCAGCTGTGGAATGACCTCCTGCGCCGATTCGTTCGCGCGGCGCAGAATCATGCTTAACGAGGGGAGCGGGCTGCGAGTGTCATAACAGCCTGCAACCTCTCTTCCGGGGAAGGCTGTGTCATCATGACATCCGCAGTTCGCACCAGCGCACAGCGCACCTGCAGGTGGTGCGTGCCAGCTGGGCGTGCAGCCACCCACACCAGCGCCTGGCGAAATCGTGACCGGAAACAACGCTTACATGCAGAAAACATCCCCTCCCACTGACCTTGGAACAGTGAACCTGTCGAACAGCGAGCGCTAGCGTCAACCCCCACCGCCGATGTGCGCACCGCAGTCCGGGCACCGTCCGCCCTCATTCAGCTGCCCGCAGTCGCCCACGAAGTAGACGTGCCCGTTTGGGCAGCGGTGCTGATGCTGCGCGTATGCCAGCCTGGCGTCGACGGCGGCCACGGCCCGAATGACCTCCTGCAGGACGTTCCTTTCGAGTCCCTGCCGAATAGTTGCCTCCTCCGCCGCGGCCGTCGTCGAGAATTCCGCGCGCTGCACCAGCAACGCATCTGCGCGGTCCTCGATGCCAAGCTCGCGAAAGTGCCCCGCAGCCTCCTCCAGAGACGCAAAGTGCTCGACAGCTGCCGCGTGCATCGCGTCGAGCAGCGCCTTCTTGTGCTCGCGGAGGGTAACGTCCCCGGGGGGGCGCTCTGCCGCACCGCCCTCCCCGACGACGTACAGCACGTAGCCCTGCGCCGCGGTCCTCGCGGCCTCGTAGGCTGCGAGCGTCGCGGAGCACATTGTCGTGACTGCGCGCGTCTCTGCGGCGAGCACCTTGGCGCTCCGGCAGACCTGCTGCGCGCTCATGACCGCGAGGACCAGCGCACCCGCCGGAGATGTCCCCGCCGTCGAGGCAGCGCCGGCACAGGCCTGCAGCACGACTGCGCGCGCATTTGCGAGCAGCACCTGGGCTCGGACCGTGTCGTCCGGCCGCAGCGCCGCCTGCACGCCGCGCAGCGCCTCCGTCTGCTCCTCGTACGTGTCGTCCGACGCCGTTGCGCGCGTGACGGCCGCCACCGTCGCCTCGAAGATCTTCAGAGTCGGGGGGCGCGCCGTTGCCGCGAGAAGGTCGCAGATGTCCCGCCGGATCGCAATCAGCTTTTTGCCCACGTTGCTCGCTTCTGCAGTGGAACGCCGGCCGGCCATCGCGGCTCCCTCGACAGCGTCCATGGTCTCTTCCTGCTCCGCCAGCAGCCTCGACACGCCCGCAAGCCTGTCCAGAGCGCCTCGGTTGAACGCCGACGTCATGTCGTACAGCCGGCCGTTGGCAATCGGCCGCCCGTAGCGCAGCGTGCCCGCGACAGGCTGGCGACACGAGGGGCATGTCTTCGGCGGGCCGCTCTCGTCCACCGCCTTGGGCCGCAGCCACGTTCCGTCGGCGGCGCGGTCGTACGTCGCACCGAGACCCACGTGTGCGTCCATGGTCTCCAGGGTGAACGCGTGGCCGCAGTCGAGGACCACGAGCGGGCCGTCGACGTCGGGGTCGTGGTCGGCGAAGTCCGTGAGGGCGATGAGGTCGACCGTCTGCTTGAGGAGGTCCGGGTTCCTCGGGTGCAGCCGACAGAAGCCCTCGTGGCAGGGGTCTCCGCAGACGCCCGGGCAGCGGCAACCGCACGCGAGGAGGAGCGGGCAGCGCTCGTCGCAGGGCAGCCGCACGCACGGGGCGCCGCAGGGGAGGACGCACTTGCCGCGGTGCGGACACGCCCACACGCAGGGCTCGGCGCAGGCCACGCACTGCTCGGGGTGGTCGCAGCGATGGTCGCAGCGGGTGCCGTGCGTGCACGTGCGAGGGCAGGCGCGCGTGCAGGTGCAGGGCCCCTCGTGCGAGCAAGGGGAGTCGCAGATGTGGCCGCATGCAACCTGCTTGCCGCACAGCTCCGGGCACGGGCGCTGCAGGACGGTCTCCGCCGGGGTGCCGCAGTCCCGCTGGATGACATGGCCGCACGGCAGCCCGCATTCGATCCTCTCGACGCAGCGCACGCGTTCGGGCGCCTGAGCCTGGTAGCAGGGCAGGCTGGCTGCGACGTGGCCGCACGGCAGCGCGACGTCGCGCACCGGCCAGCGGCACTGCCCGCAGTCGACCCCGCACATCTTGTCGCACCGGTGTCCGCAGGGCTGGTGCAGACGCTGGCACGGCTGCTCGCAACACACCCCCGCGTGCGAGTCAGGGTGGCACCTGCGTGGGCAAGCGTGGCCGCACGGCAAGCGCGTGGTGCACGGCTCCTTGCAGCCCCCGTCGATGCAGAAAAGAGCGATGTCGCCGGCGGTCCGGACCCGCGTCACCGTCGCGTGGTTCTGGCACCTCAGGGCCAGAGCGCCCCCAACGCGCGCGGCCCCCGCGAGCTGCTCGAGAACCGGCGCCCACATCGTGCTCCCACCCTTGGCGTCGCGGAGCATCGCGGCGTTGCCGACGATGTAGAGGCCGTGCCTCGCCCGCGACAATGCCACGTTGATGCGGTTCTTGATGCCAACGAAGCCCACGCGGCCCTTGCTGTTGCTCCGCACCGTACTCAGGATGACCACCTGCGCGAACGAGACGCACACGGGTTTGAGTCGGAGAGATCGCGCCACGCGCTCCACAGCGGCACGACGAGTGTGGCCACATGTGCCCGGGCGTTCGAGCGACCCCGAACCCTCCTCGCACGCAACCAGGCGGTCAATACAGGTGGTGAACGCACGTCAGCCTCCTCGCCCTGGAAGTTGTCGATGGTGGCGCAGCGCAGCACGTCCCTGATGCTGGTCCTGCGCGCCGTCACCACGTCTACCTCGCCCTGGCCGTCCCCGCCGCTGACGTCGCGCAGAGCGAGCTCCTCCAGCTCCTCCTCGTCGCGCTCCGACAGCGTGACGTACTTGTCGCCCGCGATCCGGCGGATGAGCCGCAGCTGCCCGAGGTAGGGCGTCAGGATGCACACGCGCCCGCCCGTGTAGCCCTGCACGATCAGGTACTGCGCCAGCGCCACCGCGAGCTGGGCCTCGTGCGCGTTGGAGTAGCTCGTGTCCGCGCCGCCGGGCAGGTCGTGGCCGTCCTCGGGGACGTCGTGCGCCAGGAAGAACAGGTCGGTGGCGACGCCCTTGACGTGCGGGTGGTCGTGGACCGTGGGGGCGTCGACGAGCCTCGGGTAGACGGGGCCACGGATGAGCGCGCTGATCTCGGGGCGCATGCGCCACTGCGTCCCCAAGGTCGTGCACGGGAAGTGCGGCACAAGCGCGAGACGCTCGAACAGGCTGAGGTCGAGGTTTCGGCCGCGGCCCGAGTCGACGCTGAGGGAGTAGTCCTCCACCGACGGACGGAGCTGCTCGTGGTCGCCGATGAGGACCAGCTGCTGCGTGTCCGGGTGCAGCGCCGTGAGGATGTGCGCCTCGAGCACCTCGGACGCCTCCTGCACGGACGACGCGCGGAGGGTGCGGCGTCGACGACGCGACACAGCACCGAGGCAAAGAAGGAGCAAACGTGGGGCAGAAGGAGGCAGGCGGCGCACCTCGATGACGACGGCGCGGGGCTTGGCGCGGCGCAGCATGGCCTGCTTCGCTGCCGCGGCTGTCGTCGTCACCCCAACCACGTTGCAGCCGCGCAGGACGTCGACGCAGTGGCCGTCCTGGGAGGTTGCCAGGTCGCGTCGCGCTCTCTCAAGCTCCGCAGCCGCCGCGTGGAGCTTGGAGAAGAGGAGTCCGTGCACCTGGTTGCGCCAGTGCTCCGTGAGCGCGGCACGCTCCTCGCGCGACATGTCGAGCGGCGCGCTGCACTCGCGCAGCTGGGCGATCGAGCGCGGGCGCGGGGCGCTCGGCCCCGCGCGAGCTGCGGACGCGGTGGCCCCGCGCAGCCATCCCGGCGTGTCGCCCCTCGCCCAGTCGCGGAACCCGAAGCTCCCGGCGATTTCCCAGCCCTCGTCGACGTCGTGGTCCGCCGCCGCGCTGGAACTTCCATCCGCAGCCACGGCGGTGCGTTCTTGCACGTCGAGCTCCACGCCGTCCTCCACAGTGATGAGTTCAAAGCCGTCCTCGACCGTGACGGACCCTGACTGCGACGCAGTCAGTGCCTGCAACGAAGATACAATATCAGAAATTGGATGTGCTTGCTCAAGAGCCATTCAGCGCAGGCACGCGAAAAACGGTCGGGGGCATGTTCGCAGCAAGGACGCACCGTGCCAACCGCGCTCGCCACACGCTTGGCCTTGCCCTTCCTCGGCGCAACGAAGTGCGGCTCGAGGGCCTGCGTCACCGTCGGCGCGTCGGCCTCCGCCTGCTCCCAGATGGCCCGCCACGTGACGTCGGGCGAGCTCCTGCAGTCCTTCACCTCCTTCAGCAGGGCCGTGACCCTGTGCTCCGCATCCCGGCAGTCGCTGAACGCCTGGTAAGACGCCCTCCCGACCCCGTTGGCCTTGGGCTGCTTCTTGGCCGTCTCGAGCAGGCCGAGCGCCCTGACGCGCTCCGACTTGGAGCGCCCACCGATGCGCACGATCTTCGTCACGCCCGCGTCGAGCAGCGCCTCCAGGAACTGGTCCAGCGCGTGATTCGTCAGGCATGTGATCAGGATCGGCCCATGCTGTTCGTCGCGGGCGCGGGCCAGCATCGCGCGCACCACGAGGACACCCACGTGCGTCTTGCCGCAGCCCGGCGGGCCCTGGATGAGCGCGAGCCGCCGAACGAGCGCCTCGCGCAGCGCGACAGCCTGGCGCTCGTCGAGCCCGAGCCCCGCGCGCACGGCCTCGAGTGGGAACGCATCGGGGCGGCCCAGGTCGACGTTGCGCAGGGCCACGCGCGCCGCATCGGCGCCCGGGCCGTCGGGGACGAGGCTCGCGAGGTCCGAGATCGAGCCAGCGCCGTGGGCGCACGCGAGCCAGCCCTGGCGGTGCGCGTCGTCGACGCCGGCACCGTCGACGCGGACGATGAAGGGCTCGAACCACGCGGGGAGCTGCAGCGCGGCGGTCTCGCTCTTGAGCGCGCGGAGGACGGGATCGTACGCGAAGAAGGCAGCGGAGGTCTGCACGAGCGCGACGTCGCGCAGGGCCGCCTGCGCGCGTGGGTCGCCCGCGGCCGCACGCAGGGGCACGGTGAGCGGCCAGGTCCGCAGGCCCGCAGGCGTCTGCACACCGAGTGCGCCGAAGCCGTCGTCCGCGTCCTGGCCGCACGCGATGGCCAGGTTGGCGCTGAAGCGCCCATTGTCGAGCGACGTGACGGCGGGCGGCCTCTGCCCGCCCTGCCCCCCGCCGCCGCCGTTGGCGCTGCAGACGGTGAGGAAGCAGAGCTTGCGCTCGCCGTTCTCCCGCCACGTCAGCGCCGCCAGGGACCCCTCGGACATGAGCCGCGTCCGGCCCCAGAACTCCCTCGCGCGCTTCTTCGTGACGTTCCGCAGGAAGTGCGGGTTGTCCGCCCTCACGCACAGCATCAGCGCGCCGGCGCCCGAGGAGCGCCACATCGCCGTCTGCTCGATGCCCGCGAACTCCACGCCCGTGAAGACGTGGGCCTGCGCCTCGCGCGCGGGCTGCGCGCCGCCCGTGAGGTACGCTGACAGGCCCCGGATCTGTCCGCTGACCAGGTCGTGCCGCAAGAGGCGGAAATGCGCGTCGACCAGCGCCTGCGGGGTGCCGGCGCCTAGGTGGGGCGAGCCCGCGCCGGTGTTGGCCGGCAGGTACGCCGCCGGGGCCTCGGGCGCGAGCACCTCCTGCAGCGTGGGGGTGATCTGGATGGCGCGCACGTCCGCGTGGTCGTTGTCGTGGCGCGGACCGGCGGCGCGCAGATCGCCCGGGGGCTCGAGCAGCTCCTCGGCGGCCACGGCGGCGCCCACGATGGCCGCGGCGTGGGCGTCCTGCGCGGCGCGTTGCGCGGCGCGGTCCCGCCGCTGCAGCGCCGCGGTGAACTCGGCGCCGCGCCGCTCCAACATCGCGATGAGCGTCTCGAGCTCGCGCGCCGCCGCTAGAGCCGCCCCGGAGCCCGCGTCCGCCGCGCCGACCACGCTGGACAGCGCCTCTGCCGCTGCCACAAGCTCCGCCAGCTTGTCGGGCGTGAGCACACCCCCCGCGCCCTGTACGCTCGACATCATCCCCTGCAGCAAGAGCGACGCGGCCTCGGGCACGCCCACGCGCACCCCGTCCGGATCCGCCACGGCCAGGAACCCCCCCGGAGGAGGAACGGCCGACGCGTGCGACAGCTGCCGCGCGGCGTCGACGAAGCGGCAGCTCCGCAGCAGCGTCACCTGGACGGGCCCCGCGCCCGCCGCCGTCGCGCCGATGCCCACGGCGCCGGCCTCTCGGAGCGCCAGGAGCACCCCCAGCGTCGCAGGCAAACACCCGCCGCCCGGGACGTCGAGGGCCTCGGCGAGACGCAGCAGACCCGAGCTGGACTGGTCGCTCAGCAGGTTCAGTGCGGCCTGCGGGGCACCGCTCGTCGCCAGGTCGTGCAGGGCCCGCACGAACCTCGGAGGCCCGCTTGATGCGTGGAGGGGGCGCGCGTCCTCGCGTGTGACCGCGAACAGGAAGCGATGCGCCCTGTCGGCCTTGTCATCCGTCGAAAAGTGACCGCGCCCACGCCCACGGCCGCCGTGGTTGCCGTTCCGCCCGCCGTCGCGGCCACCATCGTTGCGACCACGCCCACGCCCGCGCCCGCGCCCACGCCCGCCTCTGCCACCCGATGCGTACATCCCGTGTGGATCGTAGCGTTGCGGATACTTCCGTGCAGCCATGCACGCGCCTGACGTCGCCGATCGACAGAAACACGCGCCTGGGCGGAACTTCTGTTTGTGGCTGTGCGCGCCGCCAGAAGGCCTCCGCGGAGGGGGATGGGCCTAAAGACGGCCGATCAGCCAAAGGTCTATCGATTCTGACCCGTCGATGCCGGCGAGCGCGCCCCTTGTTGCCTCCCGGGCGAACCCTAGATTTCTACGCCCCCAATGTGACCTGGCAACCAGCTGGCAGCGGCGCGCGCCGACGACGATCCCCTCTCCGACCATCGCAGTGCCCCATCGTTCCGTGCTTGGTCGTCGTGCTGCCCGCTGGCGCCGCACCGGCGCGCCCCGGACCCGCTCGTTCCAGTCAGATGCCTGCGCATCGCCAGGTCCGGAGCGCCGCACGCTCCCTCGATCCTCGCCCAAGAGCTTGCTTCATTGAGGTCATCTGTGCTTGCCACCGCTGGCCCATGGCGAGTGCGGCGGGACCGTCACGGCGACCGTCGGGGCGCGCGTCGAAGCCTCAGCCACCATCTGCGCGTGTGGACTGCTGCTGCTCGGCGGTCCAGGAGCACCCGTGCAGGCGACAACGGCCCCACAGGCAGCCCATCTGCCACCTGCCCGTCGGTGTCGCCTGTTCCGACGCGACCGCCCACTGGCTGCAGCCGGTCACGACCACCCCGGACGCGTTTGCCGCGCACGCCTGTGAACGCTGCTTTTTCTCCGGCCCACGCCGTCCGCTGCAACCTCCCACTCGCCGTGTCTCTGGGAGCCTCGGCAAGCCGGCCGCGAGGAGCAACTGCAAGCCAACAAACAACGTCGGGAGCAAGATGACGGAACGTCGTCGTCGCGGCATCCAGTCACCTGCACGCCGTCCGAATTCCGCAACGACAGCTGCTCACCTGTGCTCTCCGTGCCAAAGCGGTTCAGGCCCCACCCAGGAACTGTCGCCGACAGCGTGCAGGGTGCCATGCAGCGACTCAAAAGTGCGACGTCGCAAAAGTCCTCCTCGGCGAACCAGACGGTGCCGCGAGCTGAGTGCGTCGGCGCGACGCTCTCCGTCCACGCGGAATGCGGGGCATGTTGCAATGGCGCTTCGGCGCCCGCCTCCTGCTGCGAACCGTTGCCGCCACATGCGCGGCACGTGATGCTGCGTCAGCGGGGGCCTCGACGGCACCAGGAGCGCAGTGGCGATCGGCCCCCTTCTTGTCAGCGTTCTGTGCCCGCCGCGGACTCGCGAGTCACGCCACCTGCGGGTGTGGGCGGCTATGGCAACCTGTTTGGGCCACAGCATCAGTCGCGCGCACTGGCGCCTACGTCGACCAATCAAGCCCCTGCTGCGACGGACACGGTTCTTGGAGCCACGCAATGCCCGCCTTCGAATCGCATTCGGTCGACTGGCACGAGGGCGCACCGGTGCTCGCGCATCCCAGTTTGCGGGTGTCTGCCCTCGCCCTGCCGTCTCCAGGAGCACGTGCAGCCGTTGCGATGCCTGTTGGCAGGTCCTCGCCCCCCTCATGTCACGTTGGACCTGTGAGGACATGTCTGTCCCCGAAACGGTGTTCTCCCCAGGGGCGGAGAGAGTTTTGCACCCGGCAATGCGCCCCTCCGGGAATCCCTCGAGACCCACTTGGGTCGCCATGGCCACCTAACGTCCCACGATCGAGTAGCGGACTGCTTCCGCCCCAGGGGCCTTCAGCCGCACTCGCGCGGCTGCGTATGGGGGCAGCAGACCATGGCGCAGCTCCCAGAGCGCCGCCGCTGCACTGCGTCTGTCGACACAAACGTCTCTGGACGCATGTTGGAGGTCAGTGCGACCTGGCGCTGCATGGGTCACGGTCCGACGGCGACGGCAGCGAGGCGGTGGTCTACACCAGTGCAGCCGGCGAAGACAACGGGGGCCTCGTTCGTTGGAGCGAGATTCCCGCAGCGTCCGCCAAGTGTTGACACCCACGCAGGCACGCCCCACCCAAGACACGGGCAGCACGCCTGTGCGGCACTCAACTTCGCAAGCCTCCGGGGGGGTTGCGGTACAAGAAGCTTGTGTGTCCGGGCACTCGGAGTGCGATCTCATGATACGTGCGAGCACGGTCCAGGATCAAGCGCGGCTGCTTGCGGCCGTAGATCTCCTCGCGCCGCGAACGCCGCAGTTCAGGCCGCCTCAGTGCAATTTGCGCTGCGTCGGGACACGACCGGGGCAGTTTCTCCCGAGACAGACTGCCCCTCCCGCGCAGCGCTGGCGGTCGAGACGTGCCAGGTGACGACCCTAGTGCGATGCCGAGCGTGTCATGCGTCGCCGGTGACAATACGCAGCAACATGGCTCGAATAACACGATTCGCAACACCCCACAGCCAGGCATCACGCTCTGACGATGCGATGGCCCAACATGACCATGTGCTGCTGAGCCGCGAAAGGAGGCGACCAGCCGTCAGGGGGGCGGCGCATGCGAGCGCCAGGTACCGATGAAGTGCCCGGGCAACGCCAGGCCACGAGAACGCTGCGGTGTTACGCCGTCCGATGGTGTCCGTCACACCCCGACCTTGTGATAAGGCACTCCTTGCTCACGCGGGTGCAGGAAGCGGGAATCATTCTGTGCGGGCGAGCACCCGCCTCCTGTCATTTTTGCGACCCGTAGACCACGCGCCCTCGCTACCCCATGCCGTCATAAGAGCAGCGCACGCAGTGATGATGATCGCGAACGGCCGGTTGCAATCGATCGGACGAAATGACCTTCCCCCCAGCCCAACTCCCCCCTGCGAGCTGACAAAGTCGGATGCCGGCTGCTTGACCTGCTCGGAGGGCGCTGGAGTTCCACGGGGCGCCAGCGGGTGGAACGCAGCTGCACCGGCGGGCGTCGATGTTGCGAGCTTGCGTGCCCCTCCTGCGATCGAAGAGCGGCTGGACGATGAGCTCAAATTTTTGCCAACGGCAAGCGCTGGATGGGTTGGCAGACGCAATGAGTGCACAGGTAAGACATGCCGAAGACTTACTGGAGTTGCGCATCAACGTACCGCGCTTTCCGCCACTTCGCCGGACTGCGCGGGCAAGGAGAATCATGCAATGAATCTTGCCAACGATCTTCTGAGAGAAGAAGTCTTGCTTCGCCCTCGTGACCGCCAGACGGTGGTCCCCAACGTTCGGCCCATGTGTCCAGGTCTTCGATACCTTGCCCTGAGCCCCGGCGATCCAGAGCGCGTAGCCCACGCGCAGGACTGCACGGGAACTGATCATGTTCCCATGCGTGTATACCTGCGCGAGACTCTTGCTCTGCAGCCAGGCATCAGCGAGCCAGTCGTACAACATGGCGTGGCCCCTATCGTGCCCGATCCCGACTCGAACGAGCCTCGCGCAAACCATCGATTTGCTCTCACGTAGGGCGTAGATGATCGCTGCTGCGCCGTCGTTGCCGATGTTCTGTTTGCTCACGTTGAGGGTCCGCAGGGACGTGGACTGCATCACTCCGAGCGCGAGCTCGGTCGCTCCACCCGAGCCGATGCGGTTGTCCTGCACGTCCAACTCGACGATGGACCTGCTCTGCGCGAGAGCACGACCGAGGTCCGCGGCACCCGAGTCTCCGATGTCGTTGCGGAACAGGATCAACCGCTTCAGAGTCCGACAGTCGGGGATGTGCTGCGCCAGTGCCCGCGCGGCGCGGTCTCCGAGCGAGTTCATTTGCAGGTCGAGCACCTCGAGCCGCGGGAGCAGAGCGGCGCCAGCGGCGATGTCTCTCGCACCCTCGTCGGTGATGTCCACCCCCGCCAGCATCAGGTATTCCAAGGGGTTGCCGCGGTTGAACGAGCGCGCGAGGACGCGCGCGCCCCGGTCCTCAATGAAGTACGCGGGCATGTGGACGCTGCGCATCTGGGGGCAGGCGGCCACAGCGTGGCACATGTACTCCGCATCCGGCACCATGCTCATGCGCGGCAGGTGCAGCGCCTCGAAGGACGGGCGGGCCTTGAGGAGCTCTGCGATCGCCTGCGACGGGCCCGTGCCGATGACGTTCATCATCTGCGGCGGCAGGTTCCTCGTGCTGTCGTCCAGGTACAGCTCCGTCAGAGCGCAGCTGGACATGGCGCGGAACGCTCCGACGATGGCGTTGGCGCCGGCGTCCCACACCGCAACCGACTGCAGCCGCAGCGTGCGCAGTCCAGTCTTGTCGCGCAGGGCGGCCGCGAGCTCGCTCACGCCATCGTCGCCCAGCAGGTTCTCGGAGAGGTCGAGCAGCTCCAGGTTGAGCAGCGACGCCAGCGCGGGGGCCAGCACCTTGACGTGCGGCTCATACAGCCCGGCCATGACCATGCGCAGGTCGCGCAGGATCGGCACCGCGCGCAGCCCCCCCGCCAGCGCGGCGCACATCGACATTCCGTGCGGCTGCGCCGGCGGTGGCTGCCCCGGTGCACCCGGCGACCCGGGCTGCAGCAGGTAGAACGCCGCGTCAGACACGCTGAGCTGCTCCAGGTGCTGGTGCTGCGGGAGGAGCGCCGCCATCTCCTCGCAGTCCTCGGGGCGCCAGATCCGCACCGTTCGCACCCCGTCCGGCAGCACCGCGACGTCGACTTCGGTCACCCTGCACTTCTTCCCCGGCGCAGAGAACCTCGCGGTGCACGGCTCCCTGCCGGGCGCCGCCAGCTCGCACAGGACCCCGCAAAGGCGCCGGACCTCCTCGTCGACGCGTGCGTCGCCCGAGGTCTGCACCGGCGCGAGGGGTGCGTACAGCCGCAGGTGGGTCGGGCGGATGGGGTCGCGGCCCTCGCGCATCGACCACTCCAGGACCTTCCGCACGGCACCGATGTGGTTCGCGACCCTCTCGCGCCGCGGGAGCTTTGACAGACCGACGGCGCGCATCCCAGCCAGCACTTTGCCGACGTCGCGCGACTTGATGCAAAGCGTGCCGCCGAACTGCACCGTCGCTGCCCCCTGCGCCAGGCGAGCTTGGCGCTCCGCCAGGCGCGGAAGCAGCGGCGATTTCGCGGCCAGTCTGAAGGGCCCGCAGGAGGACGGTCGATGGTGAAGCAGCGCCAGGAGAGCATCCCAACAGGTCGCGGCCAGACTCCGGACGTCGCTGACTTCAGGCAGGAAGTCCAGGAGACGAGGCTCCCGCACTAGCACATCAAGCATCGTGGGAGCGGTGCGGTCTTGGTGCTCCTGCGAGCGACGGGGGCGGTGCGGAGGTTGGGGTCCAGCATTTCCGCTTGCAACACTGGGCGAAGGATGGAGCGGCCGTTCTGGGCGGCTCGGCTGAAAGTCGGATGGCCGTCCGCCATTCGTCGCTAGCGCAAAAGTTCTGCCACGTCTCTATGCGCCGCTGCGGTGCCACGCTGGTTGGCGCTCCCGTGCAGCGACCGTCCGTACGCCGCGCGTTGTGGTGGACGACACAGTCCAGCTGTCGATGGTGCGCGCGGAAAAGAACTATCACAGGAGCACGCGGGAGCATAACGAGCGGGAACCGGCGCGTACACCGCGAGAAACCCGGGCCATTCTCAGCAGGCAACCAGCGAAGGATTCGGCGCTGCAGGCGGCGAAAGAGGCACTGATTCGCACCACGAGGAGGACATTCATGGCCGTTGTATCTTCGAGGGCGACGCACCATGTGCCCGGAGCCCGGCAATGCGCGTGTGCTGGAACTGCCTTCAGGCATCTTGGACCAGCTTCAGATCTTCTCAGAGCGACAACTGGCAAGTGCTGTAGTGGCACAGATCCGCCAGTCACGTCGTACAGTCCGCGATCCGGCGTCAATCTGCTCGGGTTGTCAGAGCTGGGAGTCCCCGGGAGACAGTCACTGGATGTAGGGGTCTTGACAGAATGCGCGCAGCGGGTCACCTTGACGAGCAAACATGACGAGGACTGTGCCTCGAGCTCCAGCGCGTCGGCGTCTGCGAAGCTCGCAAGCGGGCACAATACAGCCACCAGCACCAGCGCCGAGCTACCACCGACGTCAACGAGACCTCCCGGTCACCTGCCGTCCGCCGTCCCGTACTGCGGCCTCGCGCATCCAGGGATGCAGCTCCCCGCTCTCGAAAGCATTTCACGACGTTGCCCACAGTCGCCCCCTCGGTCCTCAGCGACATGATTCAAACATATGCCGGGAATGAGACCTGACGGGGGCTCGCCGGGACGACAGCGGCCTGGATGGTGGGACGCGGTTCCTGCGCGAGTCGTGAGCTCTCACGACTCGCGAGGCCACAGGCGGCGGGTGCGTTCTCACATCATTGAGAGGCCCTCAACCTCTCAAGGAGAGTCTTGTCTGCGATCCAATCTACCTCGTCACCTACGCGGTCGGGCCTTTGCGCCCGGCCATCAGGCCCCTGATCAAGGCATTGTTGAGATGGTTCTCCAAAACAGTCAGGCCTGCATCGACCCCAACCATGCCAGCCACCCTCGCGGCGGTGACGAGCTTCGAGGTCTGGACAGGGGCTGGGGTGTCCTTGCCCTCCAAGGTGCCGTCAGCGTTGCCGGCGGCGCCCCTGCCCCTCGGAGCGGCCCGATGTTGCTGCTTCAGCACCTTCGTCACTTTCCTGTACTCCAAAAACGCCCACACGGACCACGAAGCCAGCGCAACCCAGCGGGCGAAGGCGGCGCCCTTGGAGTTCCTGACCGCAGCCAGCCTGAGCGGGCACCGCCCGTCCTCGTCGCGCTTCACGCTGAGGTACTGCAGCGTCTCATTGCCCGACCGAAGCGCGCTGCCAATGGCGGCAAGGCCGCGCGTGGTTACGTTCTCCCACAGCATGTTGAGACTCCGCAGCGTCCTGTTGCGCCGCAGCATGTCCGCGACCATCCTCGCCACGCGGTCGTCCACCGTGTTGCCCACCCAGTAGTACATGGACATCACCTCCACCGACGAGTTCGCTGCAAGCCCGTCGAGGATCGCCGCGTAGTCCGCCGGTTGGAAGCTGAAGCCGTCGATGCGCAGCACGCGCAGCGAGCGCGTGCGACGCAGGCCCCCCCCGAGCGACCGGGCGCCCTCGGTCCACGGTCCGCTGAGCGCGGCATAGGGGCGCCTGCACAAGAACAGCTCGCGGATTGACTTGCTGAGATGCAGCCCGCGCCCGATGGCGCTCAGGCCCTCGTCGCCGATGAAGTTCCCGTCCAGGTTGACCACCTCCAGCGTCCTGCTCGCACCGATCGCAGCGCCCAGGGCAGCACCGTCCTGAATGTTGTTGTTTGACACGTCGAGCACGCGCAGCTTGCAGCTCTCGTCCTCGATGGCCTCCGCCAGGCTCGACGCGCCGCCGTCCGTCAGCCCGACGCCCGACAGGTGCAGCTCTTCCAGCCGCCCACACCGCAGCAGGCGCGCGAGGCTGGGCAGTGCTGCGGCGAGGTTGAACGCGTTCTCGTACCCCCTTCCCGCACCACCGAGCGCATAGACGTTGTTCAGGTCCAGGACTCGCAGCGTCCCACCCCTCGCCTCGGTCAGCCCCGCAGCAAGCACCTCAGCGACCTCGTCGCTGATGCCACACGACCGCAGCCGCAGCTCCCTCAGCGTGACGAGCCGCGGCATGATCTGCGTGATCACGGCCTCGGGCAGCACGTTGTACTGCAGCTGCAGCACCTCCAGCTGCTCGCAGGCCAGCAGCGCGTCCACCATGCACTCCTGGAACGACGGGTTGTCGACGAGGTTGGGCGTCATGCCGGACTGTGCCAGCCGCAGCACGCGCAGGTTGCGAGCGCGCCCGATCCACCTCCACAGGTCGCCCCACGCAGAGACCACCTCCGCCGGCACCGGCAGCCAGTAGTCGCCGTCCAGGTCGAATGCACCCGTCACGTCCAGCTCCTCCAGCGTGCCGTGATGCGCCCCCAGAACGCCCGTCAGACTCGGGGTGCTGCACCATCCCGTCAGCCGCACGACCTCGAACGCCTCCGCCGTCGCCCTCGTCGTCACCGTGCAGCGGAAGGCCTCAAACACCACCTGGGTGGCCTGACGCCCGGTCGCTTGCTGCAGCTGGCATATCACCTGCCGCAGCGCCACGAGCTCCGACTCAAAGCCAGCCATGCCGGCGCCGCCCGACTGCATTCCTGGTAGCGGGACGTCCAGGTGCAAGGAGACCACATGCAGGGGCGTCAGATTCTGGATCGACCTCTCCAGTACCCTCCGCATCGCCCGCACGTGGTCTGCGGGATTCCCTGCGGCCTCCAGGTTCCCCATGTTGCAGCCCTCGAGCGCTGCCAGCAGCTTCCCGGCGTCACCAGCCGGCACACACAGGCCGTCATAGTTCACCGTCAGCACGTCCCCGAGCTGCTCGGGGCGACGCACCAGAGCCCGCAGCGAGTCGACAGTCACCTCCAGGGTAGCAGGATGGTGCCGCACCGCCGCGTCCCGCACCTCGCGGGACGTCCCCGTCAGGCTCCTGGAGTCGCCGTTGTCAAGGCGCTGGACGATACCAGGAACGCCGTGAATGGCGCCCGCGAGCGTAGCATTGCCCCTCGAGGACTTGCTCTGATTTCCGCCCTGCAAGGACGGTCGTGGATCGGCGCAGAAGGTCGGGGGTCCCCGCAGGCGATATGCGGAAGATGTACAGGCTGGGGTCGACGTTCCCCCGACCGAGACAGCAAGACCAGTCAGAGAACCAGCGCACGCCGGACACAGGCACCTCGATCGAGGCGTCTGCGGCCGCCTCAGTGCGCGGGTATCCGTCTCCGAGGTCAGGCACGGCGAAGACAAAGCCACTGTTGATTCGCCGCTGTCGATTCGATTGCTCGGCGGTCTCGAACGCGGCGCTCGGACCGCGCCCGAGTCCGGGGCACCGCTAGCATATTCTGCCTCCCATGCGACCGTTTCGCGCTCGCAGCCAGCCTCGCAGCGCACCGCAGTCGCGCGTGAGCCCGTACACGCAGACCTACAGCCGCAGCGCCGCCATAACACGCGCGCGCGGCCCGACGAGATAGCGTTCCGCGACCACTCAGGTATGCCTTCCAGCACTGGTCGGTCGAGGGGGGCGCACCATGTTGCTGCGGGGAGGCGCCGCTGCTTGCCTCTTCAGGTGTGTGAATCGACACGACGGGAGACCTGCCCTCGGACCGTCCGTGCCAGCTGCTGGCCGCCTCGTTCCTCACGTCGACGTCATCTGGCCACCGTCCCGCGACGCGCGCGGCCCTTCATCCGGGCCCAGTCGCTGCCCCGCGACTCCACCACCGCTGTCAGCCCGACTGCGAGGACAGGGTCGCACCGGCGCCGTCTGTAACGGGTCGAGGACCTGCATCATGCGTTGTGGCGCGTTTGCAGTTCAAATCGTGGGAGACGACAGGAGCAGGTGCGTCAAGCCAACGCACGACGCAGCATCCCTCGTGCCCTTGTGAGATGTCCCGAACGCGCTCGCAGCTGACAGTGCAGGCCGCATGGCGGCGCCGCGATCTCTCGGCTGCCTCACCACACAGCGCGCAGTCAGCCTCGCAGTGCGTCACGCCGCAGTGTCTCGCTGCAGACCCACACAGCGTTGCGTCGCCCTTCGTGCACGAGAGCATCGGACGCCGCAGGTGGCGGCCGCGCACAGCCGTGCATCGCCGCGGGCAGCTGCTCACCTTCCATGCGCACACAGCAGCGCGGGTCCAAGGCGCCCACCGCTCCATGAGCACACACACACACGCAGCCCTGCCCAGTGTCAGAGGACGCCCGCCGGAGTGGGAGCAGCGCGCCGGCGACCGACCACGCCCTTGGCAGCGCTCCTCGTGCGCCGCCGATGCGCTCGCCCACCTGCGAGCGGTGCCGGGTGCCGCACGGTGATCTACTTGTGCAGTGGCTGTCCACCCAGCTGCGCCGACCGGCGCCCTGCCACACCAGCCGCACGCACAGGCCAGGCGCATCCAGTCACGTCTATGCATCGCAGCACGGCCCGCGAGCGCGCCTTGCCAAGCACGGATACGGCGACGGGGGAACGCACCGGGGCACCCGTGCTCACTGGCCATCTCCCCTGCGCACCTGCGGCGTTCCGATCCACAGCCGACCGCCTTCCCTCGCTCACACGCCCCATGACACCCGCCATGGAGCGCCCTTGCCCTCCCTCGCCGCCCCGCGCGCCCAGGGAGAGAAACAGCAGCCTCCCGGCACAAGTGCGCCCGCCTCGCGGCCCTCGCGACGTGCTCGGGCCCGCCGTGACACCCGGCCGACGTCTCCGTGTCTTCGCCTTCCCGCACCAGCCGGCGATCGTGTGGCGGTCAGCCCTCGTCTCGTGACGGCGCGCTGTGCAGTTGCTTCAACAGCTCGCGCCCCAGCTGCACCGTCGCAGACGTCTCGCGCTGCCGAGCACGCCCGACTGGCTCCATCTTGCCGCGTGCCGGCAGCGTCATTCGTCGCCGCCACTCGCCCGCACTCGTGCGCGCTGTGTGTGGTGAGTGTTGGAACGTGCCCAAGCGCGGACTTGCCCGCGCGAGTGCTGCCGCGCCGCTGGACACAGCCTTGCGGAATGCACGGGCATGGCAGGCTCGCGCGGACTGGACTCCAGAGCGTGCTCCGAGCACCACGTTAGCGTCCAATGACGCAGGTAGAACAATGAAAATAGCTGTGTCCCGTTTCCGCGGAGCACGTGCCCGGTGCGCGCGCGGATGTCGGCGCGACTTGCGACCGGTCGTCGCCTCCCGGCACCGGTCGCTCACAGCCCGCACACGCATGCTGGGGAGTCACGGACGTCACATGGTGTGGCACTGGGGGACTGCTGGTGCCGGGGAGGGGTCCACGCGGCCGGCGGGACGCGCAAGGGACGACTGGATGGCGGCTCGCTTGAGCAGGCAGACGCCGTCCTCGGCGCACACCGGGCTCAGGTGCTGCAGCGTTGTGTTCCCATCAAGCAGCGCACGACGGGGCTCGCCGGGACGACAGCGGCCTGGATGGTGGAACGCGGCTCGTGCGCGAGTCGTGAGAGCTGCGCGGAGGTTGCTGGCGAGGCCATAGGCGGCGGGTGCGTTCTCACATCATTGAGAGGCCCTCAACCAGAGAGTCTCGTCTGCGATCCAATCTACCTCGTCGCCCTCCCGGCCGGGCCTTTGTTCCCCGCCATCAGGCCCCTGATCATGACACTGATGACGCAAGTTTCCAAAGCAGCCACGTCTGCACCGACCCAAACAATCCCGGCCACCTTCGCGGCGGTGACGAGCTTCGAGGTCGGGACAGAGGCTGGGGTGTCCTGCCCTTCAAGGTGCCGTCAGCGTTGTCGATCCAGCTCGGGGTCTGCACCTCGGCGCCCCTGCCCCTCGGAGCGGCCTGACGTTGCAGCAGCTTCAGCACCTTTACTCCCCTGTACTCGAAAAACGCCCACACGACCAACGAAGGCAGAACGACCCAGCGTTCGAAGGCGACAATCTTGGAGCCCCTGACCGCGATCCGCCTGAGCGCGCACCGCCCGTCCTTGTCGCGATCCTCGCTGAGGTACTGCAGCGTGTCGTTGCCCGACCGAAGCACGCTGCCGATGGCAGCGAAACCGCGCCAGGTTACGTTATCCCAATTCATGTGGAGTCTCCGCAGCGTCCTGTTGCGCCGCAGCATGTCCACGACCTTCCTCGCCACGCGATCGTCCACGTGGTTGCGCACGCAGCTGAACATGGACAGCACCTCCACCGACGAGTTCACTGCAAGCCCGTCGAGGATCGCCGCGCAGTCCGCCGGTTGAAAGGCGTAGTGGTCGACGTGCAGCACACGCAGCGAGCGCGTGCGACGCAGGCCCTCCCCGAGCGACCGGGCGCCCTCGGTCCAAGGACCGTTGTGCGCGGCATCGGGGCGCCTGCACAAGAGCAGCTCGCGGATTGACTTGCTGAGCTGCAGCCCGCGCCCGATGGCGCTCAGGCCCTCGTCGCCGATCAAGTTCCCGTTTAGGTTGACCATCTCCAGCGTCCTGCTCGTGCCGATCGCAGCGCCCAGGGCGGCACTGGCTGTCCTCATGTCGTTGTTGGACACGTCGAGCACGCGCAGCTTGCAGCTCTCGTCCTCGATGGCCTCCGCCAGGCTCGACGCGGCGCCGTCCGTCAGTCCGACGCACGACAGGTACAGCTCTTCCAGCCGCCCACACCGCAGCAGGCGCGCGAGGTTGAATGCGTTCCCGTACCCCCCTCCCGCGCCGAGCGCACACACGTTACTTAGGTCCAGGACCTGCAGCACCCCACCCCTCGCCTCGGCCAGCCCCGCAGCAAGCACCTCAGCGACCTCTTCGCTGATGCCGCACGACCGCAGCCGCAGCTCCCTCAGCGTGACCAGCCGCGGCATGATCCGATCGGTCACGGCCTCAGGCAGCACGTTGTACCGCAGCTCCAGCACCTCCAGCTGCTCACTGGCCAGCAGCGCGTCCACCATGCACTCCTGGAACGACGGATCGTTGACGAAGATAGGCTCCCACCCGAAATGTGCCAGCCGCAGCACGCGCAGGTTCCGAGCGCGCCCGATCCACCTCCACAGGTCGCCCCACGCAGAGACCACCTCCGCCCGCACCGGCAGCCAGTAGTCGCAGTTCAGGTCGAATCCATCTGTGACGTCCAGCTCCTCCAGCGTGCCGTGATGCGCCCCCAGAGCGCTCGTCATGCGGAGGACGTCAGCCTTCTCCGTCAGCCGCACGACATCGAACGCCTCCGCCGCCGCCCTCGTCGTCGCCGTGCAGCCGTCTGCCTCGAACACCACCTGGGTGGCCTGACGCCCGGTCGCTTGCTGCAGCTGGCACATCACCTGCCGCAGCGCCACGAGCTCCGACTCTACGCCATCAGTGCCGGCACCGCCCGACTGCACTCCTGGCAGCGGAACGTTCAGGTGCAAGGAGACCACATGCAGGGGCGTCAGATTCTGGACCGACCTCTCCAGTACCCTCCGCACCGCCCGCACGTGGTCTGCGGGATTTCCCGCGGCCTCCAGACTCGTCGCGTTGCAGCCCTCGAGCGCTGCCAGCAGCTTCCCGGCGTCACCAGCCGGCACACACAGGCCGTCGTACTTCACCAAACCCACGTCCCCGAGGTGCTCGAGACGACGCACCAGAGCCCGGAACAAGCCGGGTGTCGTCCAAAGGGTTCCACGATAGTGCCGCACCACTGCGTTCCGCACGCCCCGCGACGTTCTCAGCAGGCTCATGCAGTCATCAGCGTTGAGTCGTTGCGCGATCCCTGGAACGGTTTCCAGGGCGTCCACGAGCGTAGCATTGCCCCCACTTGAGGGCTTGCTCTGTCTTCCGCCCTGCGTGAGCGAGCGTCGAACGGCGCGGTGCGCACGGTTGGGTCCCCCTTGGGCGTGATGCGGATAATGCAGTGCTGGGGTCGGACGTTCCCCCGACCGAGACAGCGAAGCCAGTCAGAGAACCAGCGCACGCCGGACACAGGCACCTCGATCGAGGCGTCTGCGGCCGCCTCAGTGCGCGGGTATCCGTCTCCGAGGTCAGGCACGGCGAAGATAAGGCCACTGTTGATTCGCCGCTGTCGATTCGGTTGCTCGGCGGTCTCGAACGCGGCACTCGGACCGTGCGCGGTTCATGTGACAGGCTGGTACCGTACGCCTTCGATGCGGCCGTGTCGCGCTCGCAGCCAGCCTCGCAGCGCACCGCAGTCGCGCGTGAGCCCGTACACGCAGACCTACAGCCGCAGCGCCGCCATAACACGCGCGCGCGGCCCGACGAGATAGCGTTCCGCGACCACTCAGGTATACATTCCAGCGCTGGTCGGTCGACGGGTGCGCACCATGTTGCTGCGGGGAGGCTCCGCTGCTTGCCTCTTCGGGTGTGTGAATCGACACGACGGGAGACCTGCCCTCGGACCGTCCGTGCCAGCTGCTGACCGCCTCGTTCCTCACGTCGGCGTCATCTGGCCACCGTCCCGCGACGCGCGCGGCCCTTCATCCGGGCCCAGTCGCTGCCCCGCGACTCCACCACCGCTGTCAGCCCGACTGCGAGGACAGGGTCGCACCGGCCACGTCTGCACCGGCTCGAGGACCTGCAGCGTGCGTTGTGGCGCGTTTGCAGTTCAAAGCGTGGGAGACGACAGGAGCAAGTGCGTCAAGCCAACGCACGACGCAGCATCCCTCATGCCCTTGTGAGATGTCCCGAACGCGCTCGCAGCTGACAGTGCAGGCCGCATGGCGGCGCCGCGATCTCTCGGCTGCCTCACCACAGAGCGCGCAGTCAGCCTCGCAGTGCGTCACGCCGCAGTGTCTCGCTGCAGACCTTCGCAGCGTTGCGGCGCCCCTCGTGCACGAGAGCATCGGACGCCGCAGGTGGCGGCCGCGCACAGCCGTGCATCGCCGCGGGCAGCTGCTCACCTTCCATGCGCACACAGCAGCGCGGGTCCAAGGCGACCACCGCTCCATGAGCACACACACACACGCAGCCCTGCCCAGTGTCAGAGGACGCCCGCCGGAGTGGGAGCAGCGCGCCGGCGACCGACCACGCCCTTGGCAGCGCTCCTCGTGCGCCGCCGATGCGCTCGCCCACCTGCGAGCGGTGCCGGGTGCCGCACGGTGATCTACTTGTGCAGTGGCTGTCCACCCAGCTGCGCCGACCGGCGCCCTGCCACGCTAGCCGCACGCACAGGCCAGGCGCGTCCAGTCACGTCCATGCATCGCAGCACGGCCCGCGAGCACGCCTTGCCAAGCACGGATACGGCGACGGGGGAACGCACCGGGGCACCCGTGCTCACTGGCCATCTCCCCTGCGCACCTGCGGCGTTCCGATCCACAGCCGACCGCCTTCCCTCGCTCACACGCCCCATGACACCCGCCATGGAGCGCCCTTGCCCTCCCTCGCCGCCCCGCGCGCCCAGGGAGAGAAACAGCAGCCTCCCGGCACAAGTGCGCCCGCCTCGCGGCCCTCGCGACGTGCTCGGGCCCGTCGTGGCACCCGGCCGACGTCTCCGTGTCTTCGCCTTCCCGCACCAGCCGGCGATCGCGTGGCGGTCAGCCCTCGTCGTCGCGTGGCGGCGCGCTGTGCAGGTGCTTCAACAGCTCGCGCCCCAGCTGCACCGTCGCAAGCGTCTCGCGCTGCCGAGCACGCCCGACTGGCTCCATCTTGCCGCGCGCTGGCAGCGTCATTCGTCGCCGCCACTCGCCCGCTCTCGTGCGCGCTGTGTGTGGTGAGCGTTGGGACGTGCCCAAGCGCGGACTTGCGCCCACGATTGCTGCCACGTCGCTGGACACAGCCTTGCGGAGTGTACGGGCATGGCAGGCTCGCGCGGACTGGGCTCCAGAGCGTGCTCCGAGCACCACGTCAGCGTCCAATGACGCAGGTAGAACAATGAAAATAGCTGTGTCCCGTTTCCGCGGAGCACGTGCCCGGTGCGCGCGCGGATGTCGGCGCGACTTGCGACCGGTCGTCGCCTCCCGGCACCGGTCGCTCACACCCGCACACGCATGCTGGGTAGTCACCGACTTCACGTGGGGTGGCACTGGGGGACTGCCGGTGCCGGGGAGGGGTCCACGCGGCCGGCGGGACGCGCAAGGGACGACTGGATGGCGGCTCGCTTGAGCAGGCAGACGCCGTCCTCGTCGCACACCGGGCTCAGGTGCTGCAGCGTTGCGTTGCCATCAAGCAGCGCACGACGGGGCTCGCCGGGACGACAGCGGCCTGGATGGTGGGACGCAGCTCGTGCGCGAGTCGTGAGAGTTGCGCGGAGGTTGCTGGCGAGGCCATAGGCGGCGGGTGCGTTCTCACATCATCAGGCCCTCAACCGGAGAGGCTCGTCTGCGATCCGATCTACCTCGTCACCTATGTAGTCGGGCCTTTGTGCCCGACCCTCAGGCCCCTGATCATCGCAGTGATGACAGAACCCTCCACAACAATCATGCCTGCATCGACCCGACCATGTCAACCACCCTCGCGGCGGTGACGAGCTTCGAGGTCGGGACAGGGGCTGGGGTGTCCTTGCCCCTCAAGGTGCCGTCAGCGTTGCCGGCGGCGCCCCTGCCCCTCGGAGCGGCCTGGATTTGCTGCTGCAGCGCCATCCTCACCACTTGATCCAACGCAAAAAACACCCCAACCCCTACGGACCACGAAGCCAGAACCCAGCGGTTGTGGGCGGCAACCTTGGAGTTCCTGACCGCAAGCTGCCTGAGCGGGCACCGCCCGTCCTTGTCGCGGTCCACGCTCAGGTACTGCAGCGTCTCATTGCCCGACCGAAGCGCGTTGCCGATGGCGGTGAGGCCGCGCGTGGTTACGTTCTCCCACAGCATGTTGAGATTCCGCAGCGTCCTGTTGCGCCGCAGCATGTCCGCGACCATCCTCGCCACGCGGTTGTCCACGCTGTTGCCCTCCCGGTTGAACATGGACATCACCTCCACCGACGAGTTCGCTGCAAGCCCGTCGAGGATCGCCGCGTAGTCCGCCGGTTGGAAGCTATAGTAGTCGACGCACAGCACGCGCAGCGAGCGCGTGCGACGCAGGCCCTCCCCGAGCGACCGGGCGCCCTCGGTCCACGGTCCGCTGAGCGCGTCACTGGAACGCCCGCACAAGGACAGCTCGCGGATGGACTTGCTGAGCCGCAGCCCGCGGCCGATGGCGCTCAGGCCCTCGTCGCCGATCAAGTTCCCGTCCAGGTTCACCACCTCCAGCGTCCTGCTCGTGCCGATCGCAGCCCCCAGGGCAGCAACGTCTTCCCTCACCTTGTTGTTGGACACGTCGAGCACGCGCAGCTTGCAGCTCTCGTCCTCGATGGCCTCCGCCAGGCTCGACGCGCCGCCGTCCGTCAGCCCGACGCACGACAGGTACAGCTCTTCCAGCCGCCCACACCGCAGCAGGCGCGCGAGGCTGGGCAATGCCGCGGTGAGGTTGAACGCGTTCCGGTACCAGCGTTGCGGATTAGCGAACGCCCGCACGTCGCTCACGTCCAGTACCCGCAGCGCTCCGCCCCCCCTGTCGGCCAGCCTGGTTGCCAGCATCTGTACGATTGCGTCATTGATGCCGCACGACCGCAGCCGCAGCTCCCTCAGCGTGACGAGCCGCGGCATGATCTGCGTGATCAAGGCCGCAGGCAGCATGTTATGCCGCAGCTGCAGCACCTCCAGCTGCTCGCAGCCCAGCAGCGCGTCCACCATGCCTTGCTGGAACGCCGGGTTGTCGACAAGGTTGGGCGTCATGCCGGACTGCGCCAGCCGCAGCACGCGCAGGTTCCGAGCGCGCCCGATCCACCTCCACAGGTCGCCCCACGCAGAGACCACCTCCGCCGGCACCGGCAGCCAGTAGTCGCCGTTCAGGTCGAAAGCACCCGTCACGTCCAGCTCCTCCAGCGTGCCGTGATGCGCCCCCAGAAAGCCCGTCAGACTCGGAGTGCTGCACGATCCCACCAGCCGCACGACCTCGAACGCCTCCGCCGTCGCCCTCGTCGTCACCGTGCAGCCGTGTGCATCGAACACCACCTGGGTGGCCTGACGCCCGGTCGCTTGCTGCAGCTGGCAGAGCACCTGCCGCAGCGCCACGAGCTCCGACTCCAAGCCATCCATGCCAGCGCCGTTCGCTTGCATTCCTGGCAGCGGGGCGCTCAGGTGCAAGGCAATGATGCTCAGGGGCGTCAGATTCTGGACCGACCTCTCCAGTACCCTCCGCACCGCCCGCACGTGGTCTGCGGGATTCCCTGCGGCCTCCAGACTCGTCGCGTTGCAGCCCTCGAGCGCTGCCAGCAGCTTCCCGGCGTCACCGGCCGGCACACACAGGCCATCGTAGTTCACCGTCGGCACGTCCCCGAGCTGCCTGGGGCGACACACCAGTGCCCGCAGCGAGTTGTGTGTCACCCGCAGGGTAGCAGGACGGTGCCGCACCACTGCGTCTCGCAACTCGCGGAACGCCCTCGTCAGCCTCATGGAGGCGCCGTTGTCAACGCGCTGGACGATACCAGGAACGCCGTGAATGGCGTCTGCGAGCGTAGCATTGCCCCTCGAGGACCTGCTCTGATTTCCGCCCTGCAAGGACACGCGTGGATCGGCGCAGAAGGTCGGGTCCCCGCAGGCGATATGCGGAAGTTGTTCAGGCTGGGGTCGACGTTCCCCCGACCGAGACAGCAAGACCAGTCAGAGAACCAGCGCACGCCGGACACAGGCACCTCGATCGAGGCGCCTTCGGCCGCCCCAGTGCGCGGGTTTCCGTCTCCGAGGTCAGGCACGGCGAAGACAAAGCCACTGTTGATTCGCCGCTGTCGATTCGATTGCTCGGCGGTCTCGAACGCGGCGCTCGGACCGCGCCCGAGTCCGGGGCACCGCTAGCATATTCTGCCTCCCATGCGACCGTTTCGCGCTCGCAGCCAGCCTCGCAGCGCACCGCAGACGCGCGTGAGCCCATACAGGCAGACCTACAGCCGCAGCGCCGCCATAACACGCGCGCACGGCCCGACAAGATAGCGTTCCGCGACCACCCAGGTATGCCTTCCAGCACTGGTCGGTCGAGGGGGGCGCACCATGTTGCTGCGGGGAGGCGCCGCTGCTTGCCTCTTCAGGTGTGTGAATCGACACGACGGGAGACCTGCCCTCGGACCGTCCGTGCCAGCTGCTGGCCGCCTCGTTCCTCACGTCGACGTCATCTGGCCACCGTCCCGCGACGCGCGCGGCCCTTCATCCGGGCCCAGTCGCTGCCCCGCGACTCCACCACCGCTGTCAGCCCGACTGCGAGGACAGGGTCGCACCGGCGCCGTCTGTAACGGGTCGAGGACCTGCATCATGCGTTGTGGCGCGTTTGCAGTTCAAATCGTGGGAGACGACAGGAGCAGGTGCGTCACGGCGGCACAGCATGACGCAGCATCCCTCATGCCCTTGTGAGATGTCCCGAACGCAGCTGAGAGTGCAGGCCGCATTGCGGCGCCGCGATCTCTCGGCTCCCCTGCCACACAGCGCGCAGTCAGCCTCGCAGTGCGTCACGCTGCAGTGTCTCGCTGCAGACCCACACAGCGTTGCGTCGCCCTTCGTGCACGAGAGCATCGGACGCTGCAGGTGGCGACCACGCACAGCCGTGCATCGCCGCGGGCAGCTGCTCACCTTCCGCGCACACAGCAGCGCGGGTCCCACGCGCCCACCGCTCCATGAGCACACACACACACACAGAGCGCTGCTCAGTGTCAGAGGACGCCCGCCGGGGCCGGAGCAGCGCGCCGGCGACGGACCGCGCCCTTCGTAGCCCTCCTCGTGCGCCGCCGATGCGCTCGCCCACCTGCGAGCGGTGCCGGGTGCCGCACGGTGATCTACCTGCAGGCGCTGGTGCAGTGGCTGTCCACCCAGCTGCGCCGACCGGCGCCCCGCCACACCAGCCGCACGCACAGGCCAGCCGCATCCAGTCACGTCCATGCATCGCAGCACGGCCCGCGAGCGCGCCTTGCCAAGCACGATACGGCGACGGGGAGCGCACCGGGCCCCTGCTCACTGGTCATGCGCACCTGCGGCGTTCCGATCCACAGCCGACCGCCTTCCCTCGCTCACACGCCCCATGACACCCGCCATGGAGCGCCCTTGCCCTCCCTCGCCGCCCCGCGCGCCCAGGGAGAGAAACAGCAGCCTCCCAGCACAAGTGCGCCCGCCTCGCGGCCCTCGCGACGTGCTCGGCCCCGTCGTGACACCCGGCCGACGTCTCCGTGTCTTCGCCTTCCCGCACCAGCCGGCGATCGTGTGGCGGTCAGCCCTCGTCGTCGCGTGGCGGCGCGCTGTGCGGTTCGTTCAACAGCTCGCGACCCAGCTGCACCGTCGCAGGCGTCTCGCGCTTCCGAGCACGCCCGACTGGCTCCATCTCTCCGCGCGCCGGCAGCGTCATACGTCGCCGCCACTCGCCCGCACTCGTGCGCGCTGTGTGTGGTGAGTGTTGGAACGTGCCCAGGCGCGGACTTGCGCCCACGAGTGCTGCCACGTCGCTGGACACAGCCTTGCGGAATGTACGGGCATGGCAGGCTCGCGCGGACTGGACTCCAGAGCGTGCTCCGAGCACCGTGCTGCACCACGTCAGCGTCCAATGACGCAGGTGGTAGAATAATGAAAATCGTTATGTCCCGTTTCCGCGGAGCACGTGCACAGTGCGCGCGGATGTCGGCGCGACTCGCGACCGGTCGTCGCCGCCCTGCACCGGTCGCTCACAGCCCGTCCACGCATGCTGGGGAGTCACATGGGGTGGCACTGGGGGACTGCCGGTGCCGGGGAGGGGTCCACGCGGCCGGCGGGACGCGCCAGAGACGACTGGATGGCGGCGTCGATGGCGGCTCGCTTGACCAGGCAGACGCCGTCCTCGTCACACACCGGGCTCAGGTGCTGCAGCGTTGCGTTGCCATCAAGCAGCGCACGACGGGGCTCGCCGGGACGACAGCGGCCTGGTTGGTGGCACGCAGCTCGTGCGCGAGTCGTGCGAGCTGCGCGGAGGTTGCTGGCGAGGCCACAGGCGATGGGTGCGTCCTCACATCATTGAGAGGCCCTCAACGAAAGAGAGCCTCGTCTGCGATCCGATCTACCTCGTCGCCCTCCCGGCCGGGCCATTGTTCCCCGTCATCAGGCCCCTGATCATCGCGATGATGACAGAACCCTCCAAAAAAGTCAGGCCTGCATCGATCCCAACCATGCCAGCCGCCGTCGCAGCGGTGACGAGGCTGAAGGTCTTGACAGGGGCTGGGGTGTCTTTGTCCTTCAAGGTGCGCCACCGGCGGCGCCCCTGCCCCTCGGAGCGGCCTGACGTTGCTGCAGCACCTTCTCCACTCTTCCGAACGCAAAGAACGCCAACACGTAAAGCGAGACGATTCCAACAGCACCCCAGCGGCTGGGCGGGGACCTTGACTCCGAGGCGACAACCTTGGAGTTCTCGACCGCGAGCTGCCTGAGCGCGCACCGCCCGTCTTCGTCGCGGTCCGCGCTGAGGTACTGCAGCGTCTCATTGCCCGACCGAAGCGCCCTGCCGATGGCGGCCAGACCGCGCTTGGTTACGTTCTTCCACTGCATGTTGAGATCCCGCAGCGTCCTGTTCCGCCGCAGCATGTCGGCGACCTTCCTCGCAACGCGGTAGTCCACCCTGTTGCCCACCCGGCTGAACATGGACATCACCTCCACCGACGAGTTCGCTGCAAGCCCGTCGAGGATCGCCGCGTAGTCCGCCGGTTGGAAGCTGTAGTAGTCGACGCGCAGCACGCGCAGCGAGCGCGTGCGACGCAGCCCCCCCCCGAGCGACCGGGCGCCCTCGGTCCACGGTCCGCTGAGCGTGTCACTGGAACGCCCGCACAAGGACAGCTCGCGGATGGTCTTGCTGAGCCGCAGCCCGCGGCCGATGGCGCTCATGCCCTCGTCGTCGATCAAGTTCCCGTCCAGGTTCACCACCTCCAGCGTCCTGCTCGCGCCGATCGCAGCGCCCAGGGCAGCAACCTCTTCCCTCAGTTTGTTGAAAGACACGTCGAGCACGCGCAGCTTGCAGCTCTCGTCCTCGATGGCCTCCGCCAGGCTCGACGCGCCGCCGTCCGTCAGCCCGACGCACGACATGTGCAGGTCTTCCAGCCGCCCACACTGCAGCAGGCGCGCGAGGCTGGGCAGTGCCGCGGCGAGGTTGAACTCGTTCCAGCACCAAAATCCCGCACCGAGCCCAAACGCGTTGCTGAGGTCCAGGACCTGCAGCGCCCCGCCCCTCGCCTCGGCCAGCCCGGTTGCCATCATCTGTGCGATTGCGGCATTGATGCCACACGACCGCAGCCGCAGCTCCCTCAGCGTGACGAGCCGCGGCATGATCCGATCGATCACGGCCTCGCGCAGCACGTCGCACTGCAGCTCCAGCACCTCCAGCTGCTCGCAGGCCAGCAGTGCGTCCACCATGCGTTTCTGGAACGACGGGTTGTCGACGAAGTTGGGCGTCATGTCGGACTGTGCCAGCCGCAGCACGCGCAGGTTGCGGGCGCGCCCGATCCACCTCCACAGGTCGCCCCACGCAGAGACCACCGCCGGCGCCGGCAGCAAGTAGTCACTGTTGAGGTTAGCAGCGCCCGTCACGTCCAGCTCCTCCAGCGTGCCGTGATGCGCCCTCAGAGCGCTCGTCATGCGGAGGACGTCAGCCTTCTCCGTCAGCCGCACAACCTCGAACGCCTCCGCCGTCGCCCTCGTCGTCACCGTGCAGCCGTCTGCCTCGAACACCACCTGGGTGGCCTGACGCCCGGTCGCTTGCTGCAGCTGGCAGAGCACCTGCCGAAGCGCGGCAACCTCGTTCATCAGCTCGGAAAGTTGCGCTGAGGCGAGGTTCCGAGGGGCGTTCACTTCGGGCAGCGGGGCGTTGATGTGCAGGCCGACCAAATGCAGTGGCGTGGACGAGTCCCGAATCGAAGACTCCAGCAGGCTCCGCACCGCCCGCACGTGATCCGCGGGGCTCCCACTAGGAGTCGACGTCGTATTGTTGTAGTTGCAGCCCTCAAGCGCGCGCAAAAGCCTGCTGGCGTCGCCGACCGGCACGCTGATGCCTTGGCAAGTTACCGTCAGGTTCCCGAGCTGGGTTGCGCGGCGCTCCAGAGCCCGCAGCGAGTTGACGGTCACCTCCAGAGTAGCAGGACGCTGCCGCAGCACAGCGTTCCGCACGCCCCGCGCCGTCCTCAGCAGGCTCATGCAATCCTCCTTTTCCACGCGCCGGACGATCCCAGGAACGCAGTGGAGGACGTCCGCGAGCGTGACAGTGCGCGTTGAGGGCTTACTGTGTTTAATGCCCTGCAAGAACCAGCACGTGATCAGGTCCCCTGACAGGTCGCACACGTCGATTCGTTTGCTCGGCATCTCGAGCCGTGCGGCACTCGGTAAAACGTGCGGCACTCGGACCGCGCTCGGCTCTGGGGGGCCGCTCGCATATTCGGCCTCCCATGCGACCGTGTCGCGCTCGCAGCGAGCCTCGCAGCGTACCGCAGTCGCGCGTGAGCCCGCGCACGCAGACCTACAGCCGCAACGCCACCACAACACGCGCGCACGGCCCGACAAGATAGCGTTCCGCGGACTCTCATGTATGCCTTCCAGCACTGGTCGGTCGAGGGGGGCGCACCATGTCGCTGCGGGGAGGCGCCGCTGCTTGCCTCTTCGAGTGTGTGAATCGCCACGACGGGAGACCTGCCCTCGGACCGCCTGTGCCAGCTGCTGACCGCCTCGTTCCTCACGTCGACGTCATCTGGCCGCCGTCCCGCGACGCGCGCGGCCCTTCATCCGGGCCCAGTCGCTGCCCCGCGACTCCACAACCGCTGTCAGCCCGACTGCGAGCACAGGGTCGCACCGGCCACGTCTGTACCGGCTCGCGGACCTGCATCGTCCGTTGTGGCGGGTTCGCAGTTCAAATCGTGGGAGACAGCAGGAGCAAGCACCTCGCGGCACAGCACGACGCAGCATCCCTCATGCACTTGTGAGATGTCCCGAACGCGCTCGCAGCTGACAGTGCATGCCGCATGGCAGCGCCGCGATCTCTCGGCTCCCCCGCCACACAGCGCGCAGTCAGCCTCGCAGTGCGTCACGCTGCAGTGTCTCGCTGCAGACCCTCGCAGCGTTGCGGCGCCCCTCGTGCACGAGAGCATCGGACGCCGCAGTTGGCGGCCGCGCACAGCCGTGCATCGCCGCGGGCAGCTGCTCACCTTCCGCGCACACAGCAGCGCGGGTCCCACGCGCCCACCGCTCCATGAGCACACACACACACACAGAGCGCTGCTCAGTGTCAGAGGACGCCCGCGGGAGTGGGAGCAGCGCGCCGGCGACGGACCGCGCCCTTGGCAGCGCTCCTCGTGCGCCGCCGATGCGCTCGCCCACCTGCGAGCGGTGCCGGGTGCCGCACGGTGATCTACCTGCAGGCGCTTGTGCAGTGGCTGTCCACCCAGCTGCGCCGACCGGCGCCCCGCCACACCAGCCGCACGCACAGGCCATGCGCGACCTGTCATGTCCATGCATCGCAGCACGGCCCGCGAGCGCGCCTTGCCAAGCACGGATACGGCGACGGGGGGGGAACGCACCGGGGCCTGTGCTCACTGGCCATCTCCCCTGCGCACCTGCGGCGTTCACATCCACAGCCGACCGTCTCCCCTCGCGTGTGCGCCCCATGGCACCCGCCATGTCGCGCCCTTGCCCTCCCTCGCCGCCCCGCACGTCCAGGGACACAGAAACAGCAGCCTCCCAGCACAAGTGCGCCCGCCTCGCGGCCCTCGCGACGTGCTCGGCCCCGCCGTGACACCCGGCCGACGTCTCCGTGTCTTCGCCTTCCCGCACCAGCCGGCGATCGTGTGGCGGTCAGCCCTCGTCGTCGCGTGGCGGCGCGCTGTGCAGTTGCTTCAACAGCTCGCGCCCCAGCCCCTGCACCGTCGCAGACGTCTCGCGCTGCCGAGCACGCCCGACTGGCTCCATCTCTCCGCGCGCCGGCAGCGTCATACGTCGCCGCCACTCGCCCGCACTCGTGCGCGCTGTGTGCGGTGAGCGTTGCAACGTGCCCAGGCGCGGACTTGCGCCCACGAGTGCTGCCACGTCGCTGGACACAGCCTTGCGGAATGTACGGGCATGGCAGGCTCGCGCGGACTGGACTCCAGAGCGTGCTCCGAGCACCGTGCTGCACCACGTCAGCGTCCAATGACGCAGGTGGTAGAAATAATGAAAATAATGAAAAATAATGAAAATAGCTGTGTCCCGTTTCCGCGGAGCACGTGCGCAGTGCGCGCGCGGATGTCGGCGCGACTCGCGACCGGTCGTCGCCGCCCGGCACCGGTCGCTCACAGCCCGCACACGCATGCTGGGGAGTCACATGGGGTGGCACTGGGGGACTGCTGGTGCCGGGGAGGGGTCCACGCGGCCGGCGGGACGCGCCAGAGACGACTGGATGGCGGCGTCGATGGCGGCTCGCTTGACCAGGCAGACGCCGTCCTCGTCGCACACCGGGCTCAGGTGCTGCAGCGTTGCGTTGCCATCAAGCAGCGCGCTGCCAATCGTCGCCAGTCCGCGGTCGCTCAACCCGTCCAGATTGATCAAGAGACTCTGCAGGGTGCCGTTGCAATAGAGCATGTCCGCGACCTTGCCCGCAACCCGGTCATCCACGATCGGGATGGCCGACAGCAGCGACACCTGCGAAACCGTCTCGTTTGCTGCTAGGCCGTGCAGGATCTCCGCGAGCTCGGCGAAGCCGAAGCTGCTGTGAAAGTCCAGGTTGAGCACCTCCAGGGAGCGGGTGAGCCGCAGGCCCTCGCCCAAGGATCGAGCTGCTCCGATCCCTGGCACAGGGGCGCCTGCCGCTGCTGCAAAAATGTCATCCAGCACTGCTTGTCGGGCGCTCAGCACGCGGATGGTCTCGCTGAGCTGCAGCCCCACCCCCACGGCGCTCAGGCCCTCGTCGCCGATGAAGTTCCCGTCCAGGTTCACCACCTCCAGCGTCCTGCTCGCGCCGATGGCAACGCCCAGGGCAGCACCGTCCTCCTGAATGTCGTTGTTGGACACGTCGAGCACGCGCAGCTTGCAGCTCTCGTCCTCGATGGCCTCCGCCAGGCTCGACGCGTCGCCGTCCGTCAGTCCGATGCCCGACAGGTACAGCTCTTCCAGCCGCCCACACTGCAGCAGGCGCGAGAGGTCGTCGGCTGCGTCGCTGACGAGGTTAGAATAGCCGGGGAGGAAGGCATCGAGGACGATACCACTCACGTCCAGCACTCGCAGCGCTCCGCCCCCCCTGTCGGCCAGCCCGGTTGCCAGCATCTGTACGATTGCGTCATTGATGCCGCATGACTGCAGCCGCAGCTCCCTCAGCGTGGCGAGCCGCGGCATGATCCGATCGATCACGGCCTCGGGCAGCACGTTGTACTGCAGCTCCAGCACCTCCAGCTGCTCGCAGGCCAGCAGCGCGTCCACCATGCGTTGCTGAACCCAACCGTTGTCGACGAGGTTGGGCGTCATGCCGGACTGCGCCAGCCGCAGCACGCGCAGGTTGCGGGCGCGTCCGATCCGCCTCCACAGGTCGCCCCACTCCGAGACCACCTCTGCCGACAGCGGCAACTCGTAGTCGCCGTTGAGGTTAGCAGCGCCCGTCACGTCCAGCTCCTCCAGCGTGCCGTGATGCGCCCTGAGGACGCCCATGAGGCTCCGCGTGTCGCATCGGCCCGTCAGCCGCACGACCTCGAACGCCTCTGCCGTCGCCCTCGTCGTCACCGTGCAGCCGTCTGCCTTGAACACCACCTGGATGGCCTGACGCCCGGTCGCGCGCAGAGGCTGGCAGATCACCTGCCGCAGCTCGGCGAGCTCCAACTGCAGGAGGGTGTCTTCGGCGCGGCTCTTGTGCACCCCGGGCAGCGGGGCGTTGAGATGCAACTCACGGACATGGAGGGGCGTCGAGTTGCGCACGGGCCACTCCAGGACGCTGCGCACAGCCCGCAGGTGTGCGATGGGAGTCTTTCCGGCAGAGAGCGTCAGGTAGTTGCAGGCCTCGAGCGCGCGCAGCAGCTTCCCGGCGTCGCGAACAGGCACGTGCAGGCCCACGAACTGAAGCGTCAGCATGTCCCCGAGCTGCCCGGCGCGGAACTCGAGAGCCCGCAGCGAGGTGCGTGTCGCCCGCAGGGTAGCAGCACGGTGCCGCAGCACAGCGTCCCGCACGTCCCGCGACGTCCTCAGCAGGCTCATGCAATCCTCCTTGTCCACGCGCTGCACGATCCCAGGAACGCAGTGGAGGACGCCCGCGAACGTCGCACTGCCCCCATCCGAGGGCACGCTGGTCGTCACCATCTGCGGGAAAGCATAGCCCAATGCGATGTACGCGGTCAGGCCGCGGGCGAAGGGAAGGGTCATGGCTGTTCGCCGATTCCAACGGTCTGGAGCATCGATGCGGAGCTGACGCGACACGTGTGTCCGATGGGCTCTGAGTCGAAGCTGTTGATGCTCAGAGGTGTGCGTGTGTTGGCCGCACAGCCATTCGGAACGGGCAAACGGAGACGGCAATCACGCGGTCGCTGTCGGTTCGCATTCCGAGAGGTTTCACGCAGATCCTCGAGCCGTTCAACAACTCTACGGATAGCTATCGATAGTGAGATCCGAATGAAGCGCAGCAAACGTACAGGATCCGCAGCATCGCGCAGAAAGTGGGCGGGAGCCAGCAAGGCTGGACTTGCAGCGCCTGCCGCGGAGAGCGCAATTGAGAGCTGCGTTGCGCAACTAAGCAGCTCGATCTGAACCCAAGTGGTACACGCAGTGAATTCCTAGCTTCAAGGAAGCGCACCATGACGTCGCGGCCGGGCAAACCGCCGTGTCTGATGTGCGAGGCAGAGCTAACGGGCCTTCCTCCGAATCGCCGGAGTTGGCTGGCCGGCTGCTCCGGCCTCCTCGTGTGCGGATTGTGGTCGCAATCCAGCACGCCGAAAGTGCATCTAGGCGTTGCGGGGCGCTGTTGCGTAACATCCCCATATTGAGTCCGACATCCGGCAAAACGCCCCTCTTCTGGGGCTCCGCCCCATCCTCGTCCCCGCAGTGTGCTCGGAAATACGACTGCTCCGTTCGCACAGGACAATCGTGTCGTCCACGCGAAGCGAGGCGCGTCGGTGATAACAGGCAGTCAATTGCGAGAGTGCTTGCAATGGTGCCTGCGACAGCACTTCGTCACGTAACGGGAAGGTGCCATGCAGCCGATCTGTTTGCGCGCCTCCGGCGGACGAGATCACCCAAGCGGCAAGCCGCGCGCTGGGAATGAACTTGCATGTGCCCCATCTGTCAGCGGCTGGAACCTGGACTCACAAGGCCAGTGGCCACTCGACAAGCAACAGGACGCTGAACCTGTAGCGTGTCTAATGTTGGCCACGCGTGAGCGCACCACCAGCCCTATAAGCGAGGCCAGTGAGGTGTTTGACAGTTTTGACAAGCAGCCAAATCGCACCAACACGTGTTCCGAGGATGACTGACGACAAAAACAGCGAACGCTTGATCGCAGTACGAATGATCGTCTTCCTCGTCGCTCCATGCATCCCCATGGTGATGTCCTGCAGCGTGGCATTGTCCATGAGCAGAGCAGCGCCGACCAACAGCATGCCGTTCTTGCCTGCCTTGTTGCCCGACAAGTTCAGCTGTGCAAGCGTCTTGTTGCGACGCAGAGCCTCGAAGAGTACGCCATAGACCCGATCGTCATCGATGCCGACGCACTGCATGTCCAGCGAGCGCAGAGTCGCGTTTTCTGCAAGCGCATTGAAGACCTGTCCAACGCCCTGGCACCCGAGACGCTGGTTTGTCAGCGTGAGCTTCCGCAGCGACCTAGTGGTCCGCAGCGCCTTGGCGATCGCCATGGCGCCACGTTCTCCGATGGACACATCGCCGCGAGGCGTGGTTGCAAGGTGTAGCTCCTGCAGCGACGTCGAGTTCTGCACGCCAATTGCGATCGCTCCAGCACCTTGGTCACCGATGCAGTTGCCGCTCAGGTCCAAGATGCGGAGCTTGTTGCTCCGTGTGAGTGCGGTCGCGATCGCGAAGGCGCCGGCGTCGCCAGCTTTGTTGAATGCAAAGCGCAATACTTCCAGAGACGGGCTGCAGCGGATCAGATCGCCCAGCGTGGATGCCCCCGTGGCTCTGACGTGATTATGCCCGAGATCGAGAGCAACAAGTGTCTGCACCCGGGCAAGTCCCTCGGCGAGAGCAGCCGCCCCGGTGTCTCCAATGTCGGCGTCGATGAGCGACAGCGACGTCAGGTGCGCGTCGCAGGTGAGAGCTGGCGCCAACAACAACGCCCCGTAATCACCGATGCGACAGAGCTCCAGGTGCAGCTTCCGCGGCCACTTGCCTGTCCCGACCGCGTCGCAAAAGTCGAGAGAACCAACCGAAGTGGAAAAGAAGGTGGCGGGCGAAATGTCGTAGTTGGGCATGCGCAACACGTCGAAGCCTCTGTGGTGCCGCAGGAGGCTCGCGATGGCCGTCATGCCCTCTTCGCCGGCGGTGTTGTTGGTGGTCGCACTCGTGCCGCGCATGCTGAGGACTGCGAGGCTGCGCTGCTCCATCGACATGAACATCTCCGCGATCGCACGCACGCCGCCCGGACGCAGCCCGCAATCGTCCAGCCAGAGCTCCCGCAGCCCAGACTTGTCGCTCAGCGCGTCAAGCAGCAGCTGCAGGCAGTCGCCGTCCCCGCCGAGGGCAGGGTTGTCCGACAGGTCGAGGACCTTCAGGTGGTGCATTCCGGCCAGTGCGGGGAAGAGCAGCTGCGCGTGCGATGCGTTGATGCCCATGGCGCGCATCTGTAGCACACGGAGCGTCGGAACAGAGCGCAGGCCGTTTGCCAGCATTTGGCACACCCCCTGCCGACTCAGGGGGAGAGGCTGCCCCGCCTCGGCGCTCCTGCGGCCCGACAAGGAGAGCTCTTGTAGGCAGGAGTGCTGCGGTAGGAGACGCGCCGTCGCCTTGCAGTCCTCGAAGTCCTTGATGCGAATCACGTGCATACCAGTGCCAGGAAACACCTCGGCGACCACCTCAGACCGCACCTCGTCCGGCGCTGTTCCCGGACTGAACGTCGCGCGCAGGGGCGTCATCGCCAACGCCCTCCCCGCGTGCTCGCGCAGCACGTCCGTCAGCCGCTGGACCTCCTCGTCGGTGCGCCGAGATCCCTGCTGCAGCGGCGCGAGCGGCGCGCCGACACGCACGGCGAGCAGCCGCACTGGGCGGCACTGACGGAGCATGATCTCGAGTATCTGCCTCAGCGAGCGCGCGTACGCCTGACCGTTATCGGCGTACTTTTGCATCGAGGTGATGCCGGCGATGCGAATCGCAGCCCGGAGCTTGGCCAGGTCGCTCGCGGGAATGGTGAATCCATCCAAGTCCACCGCTGCGCTGCTGTCGGCAAGTAGCGCCGTGCGAACATCCAGGCCCTTGACCAGCTCGCCGTCAGGACCGATCGCTAGAGTTGCCCCGGCGCGGTGACGCAGCACCGCGACAAGGGCGTCCCAGCACGCTGCGGAGAAGTTCGTCACGTCCCGCGCAGGGAGGTGCTCGACGACGGCGGGCACACGCGCCGCCAGGTCCAAGAGAGTTGGCGCGCCTGGACCCTGCAGTACTCACCACGCACGCAGACTGGTGAGGGCGACGCGACGCATCAGGGAAAAGACAGCGCGACGTGCCTCGACGAGGTCATTGACATTCTCCCGCAGAGTGCGCGGCAGGCGGTCGGCACGGCGCGCGAGGGCACCGGCGTCTGAGACCGCAGAGATTGCGCAAGGGTCGGTGCGACTGTTCGCCTTCTCGGCAGCTTGGCTGTCCGAGGTGAGTCAATCGACGCCGCGAGCTGCCTTGGAACGATGTATTGGCTCGCTCGGCGCTCGACAATCGTCAGGGAAAAGCCAGGTTCATGGGCGACGAGCGCTGTTGGGGGTTCTAGGCATTGAAGCCAAAGAGACGGGTCAGTAGGGTTCGACAGGGAATCTGCGCCGTGCGCACACTTGGATATGATGCCGATCTCGCAGGTCGGGGCGGGAGAAGCGCACCGTGTCGTACGCGGCCGGTCCCGCCCAGCCTTGCTGCGCCATGACGGCAGGTATCTCGCGGTAGGGCTGAACTGGTTCTGTTGCACGGCGTCGCGATGCGCACTTGGGTCTCAACTTCGAGAATGTCTTGAGCTGGTCGCCCGTGCGCCGGCCCATACACACCCGCGGCTGTGACGCCTCTTCCTCTTCCTTGACAGACAAAGCCCGAGTATGAGGCCGTCCGTCAACGCGCCGACGGTGTCGCGCGGAAGCTAGGGAGCTTCGCGGTCCCGCGTCCCCTTGGCGCGGGTGGCGCCGGTGCACAGGACTACAGAAGGACCGTGCGGGATGCGCTGCACGGGCCGTACACCGCTTCGATCGTCCAACGGGAAACGAAGTGGTTTGAAGCGACGCGCCGAAAGGGCATGTCCAGGTCCTTCGACACGAACTTGATCTCAGCGTCGTGGTCGTCCTTGAGGCCGTGCTGCACGCTCTGGATGGCGTCGTCGCTCCCGTAGTTGCCGGCCATATTCAGGTATCTGAGCGTCCTGTTGCGCTGCAGTGCCTGGGCGAGAAAGCCGTACACATCGTCACCAGAGATGCCGTTCGCGGCCATGTCGAGAGAGTGCAGGTGTTTGTTCGAAACCAGGGCTACGAACACCTGCATGGCGCCCGTCCCGATCGAATTGAAGCTCAGGCAGAGCTCCCTCAGTGCACTGGCGTTCCGCCGCTCCTCGGTGCCCGCAACGGATCCAGGTCCTCCACTGTGATTTGAGCCTCCTGCTGAAGGTTGCAGCGCAGCAGCGATCGCGGCCGCTCCATGCCGGCGGATCCGATTGTGCGGCACCGCGAGGCTCCGGAGAGCTGACGAACGAGCCAGTAGCTGGCCCAGCGCAGCTGCACCGGCGTCTCCGATGGCGTTGTAGGCCAGGTCCAGTTCCCGCAGCCCCGACACCTTCGAAAGAGCGTTGGCGAGAGCCACCGCGCCTGCGTCTCCCAGGTTGCACGCCTCGAGGTGGAGGACCGTCAGTGTCGCGCTTCTCGTCAGAGCTGGCGTCAGCGCCTCGACTCCCTCCACGCCCACGTCGCACAGAGTGAGGCTGAGCTCGCGCGGCATCCCGCACGACGCAAGGGCGTCGCAGAGCGCTGCTGCTCCGTCCCGGACAACGTCAGGCCAGAGTCGGACAGCCATGGCTAAGCTACGTGCGTCCCCGTGATGACGCCTTGTCCGCAGCCTCGCAAGACCGCCGCAGTGCTGCACGAGCCTTGCGAGCGCCGCGACGGCGTCGTCCCCGACGACTCCGCCCACGTCGACACTCTCGAGGCTGCTGCCCTCCACGGCGACGAGCGCACCCACCAGCGCCCTCAGCCCAGTTCCACGGATCCCACACCTGCAGACACGCTCGGGCCCGAGTCGCTGTCGGCGCGATGCCTTGCAGCCCGACCCTGGAGCGCTCGCTGCCTCGCGCTGGTGCGGGAAACTCACCGGCTCACGTTCAGCTCCCGCAGCCGCCTCATGTCCTGCAGCGCGGGCAGGAGACAACGCACGCCGGCGTCGCCGATGTTCGGGTTCACGGCCAGGTCGAGCACCTCGAGCTGCTGCAGCTGTGCCAGTCCCGGTGCCAGCAGTGCCATGTCCCGAGCGTGCAGGTCCGCGCCAGCCAGGCGCAGCACCTGCAGGGCGGGCACCGCGGGCAGGGCAGCGCCCAACACGGCCGCGGGGCCGACGAGGGACCCGCCGTACGCATGACGGTTGCACCAGGCCCAGCCGGGCGCCACCCACGACATGTCCAGCTCCCGCAGCGACCCGTGCGCGGCCAGGTGCTGCGGTGTGTCCTCGCTGCCCAGGGGGTCCTTGATGCGCACGACGCGCAGGCCGCCGGCCGCGACCTCGACGTCCACCTCGGACTGCGCCTCGAACTCGCGCTCGGCCTTGCTCAGCGGCAGTCTCCGCGTGAAGCGCACCGCCAGCGGCGTGCCGTCGAAGCGCTTGTGACGCCCGTACTCGCACAGCGCGGCCTGCAGACGAGCGGTCTCCTCCACGACGTGCGGCTTGCTCTGCTGCGTGGGGTGGAGGGGCGCGCGCACGTGCAGCGACACGATGCGGAGCGCCGGGCTCTCGTCCCTTGCAGTGTGTTGCACGGACCACTCCAGGAGCTGCCTGGTCGCCCGCACGTGCGCCAGGACGCGCACGCCGTCGCTGTGGAGTCGGGCGGTGTTGCCGGCACGCAGAGCGGTCACGAGGCGCCCGGCATCGCCGACGTGCAGGCGCATGCACGCGTCAATGTCGAGGAGAACAGCGCTGTCGGCGAGCTCTGCGGCACGCGCCGCGAGCCCTGGCAGGAGAGCGCCAGTGGTCGACACGCCGAGCACCGCACGAGGTGCGTGTCGGAGCAGCGAGGCCAGGAAGTCCCACGACACCGAAGCAGCTGCAGCGATGTCGCTTGGAGAGCGATCTTCGGTGAGAATTTCGACCAAGCGGGGCACTTCAGCCATCACCTCCACGACCGTGGGTCGGAACCGCGCCGGGAGGGACTGCAGTGCATCGTGAGGGCACGTGCGCTCGGTTCAATGCAACTCCTAGGAACCCTGCTTGCTCGAGCTCGCCTCCTCGTGAGTCTCGGCATGGGGGCAATAGGAACACCGTCCGACTCTATGAGACGGGTTCGGCGAACGGAAGCACGTGCTGTAGCTCGCATCTGGCTGTCGAGTGGCTGGCAAGGGCAACCGTGTTCAGGCGGGCCTGAACCGTTCCGCCATGGTTATTTCTCAGCGCGGAAATCACTCGAGGTGCACACGGATCTCATCAACATCGTGACACAGTGACACGCACCATGATTCTGCGCGTGTTCCTGGTCGAAAAGGTCGCAACCAGTTCTGACTGCCGAACCCCCCCCGTCTTCTCGTCTGCGGGCCGCTCCGCATGGGAGCTTGTGCCTTGAGGAAGCCGACCCACGAGCTCTGCACCGTCAGCTCGCGGTCGGCTGGCCATGAAGCCCCAGCTGAGCTCGGGGGGCGGTGCCCAGCAAGACTGAGCCAAGGACATGTCAGACTGGCCATCAACCCCCCCCACGCAGCGGACAGCGCGGCTGTGATGCTTGCTACACCCATCCCGCGCGGGCACGTCACTGACAGGTCGCGCCAGCCGCGCTGGGGACCTCACCCGAGTCGGCGACCTCGCGATCGCTGCGTTGAGGAGAACTCGGACGAGGCAGCGGAGGGAGGTGCGCGCCCGCGTGCGCGCCAGCGGGCCGCTCGACGGGAAGGGCATCGGCCTGCGCGTGCTGAGAATTCCATTCAACGGGCTTGCTCGTCCGGGCCCCGCTGTGGTCCCACGGTGACGTTCCATGCCTACACCGGGGCGGTGCCACAGGCGCGCGCAGTGCATGCACTCACATGTGCCTCCCTACACCTGCTCACCTCCCTGCCGAGAGGCGGCGGCACTGTACGCCACGAGAGAGGCAAAGACAGCACCTGCGGTGTTCCTGACACAAGGTGATTGTTCTACTACCTGTTGCCGTCAGATCCAGCATTCAACTCACTCGCAGCTCGCTCGCTCTCGTCCTACTTCGCGTGACCAGCAAGCAGCGTCCCGTTCTCTTCCTCGCGGCCACGTCTATCAGCGCCTGCATAGGAACATGTTGAGTCATGAAAACGTTGCGTTGCGCGAACGGCGCCGCGACGCGTCAGACCCTCAGGGGCCCACACAGGGAATCCACCTGCTGGAGTGGCGTATTTGACGCTGGGCTCAAGGAGCGAACCTAGCGCGGCGCATGCAAAGAGACACAGAGTGGAACAACGGGCAGGACGAGCGAGATGAGCGAGCGCGCCGGCTCCCTCTCACCTGCGCACGCGTCGCGGCGAGCCCTTGTGAACGCGGCGAAAGGCCTCGACATCCTTCCAGGCGGGAGACTTAGTCTCCCGTGTCGCCATGACGCTCGCCACCGCAACTGTTGTGACGGTTGAGAAAGCAGCAGCAACCAGCCACGGCAAGTTGTCTCCTCCCTTCTGCGCCTCCAGCGAATAATCCTGCCCCTCACTCAGGCCCTGCTTTTGCAGCGCAGCGTGGAGCTTGAAGAGCCCTAGCCACCGCAGCCTGTTGCCCTGCAGGTACAGATTCTTGAGGTCCGGGTTGCGCTGCAGGGCGTCCACCAGCCGGTTGACCGCCCTGCCCGTGATACCGTTGTCACGTAGATCCAGCACATGCAGCGTGCCGGTGGCTCCCAGCCCGCCGAAGAGCGTCGCCGCTGCCTGGCCAGTGACGTTGCCGTAGCCGTTCATGTAGAGTTCGCGCAGCCGCCGCGTCCGCCCCAGCCACTGCGCGAACGGCGCGACCCCGTCGGGTGTCAGCCTGCTCGGCAGGTCCCTGCCCGCGGACACCCGCAGCGTCTGGAGCGTTTCAGTCGCCCCGCCGCTGTTCAGCAGACCGCGACCCAGCGCAGAAAAGCTCGGGTCGTCGATGTTGTTGCCGTCCAGGTTCAGCACACGCAGTCTGGGACACATCGGCAGCGCGCCCGCGATCGCAGCAAAGCCTGCCTCCCCGATGCGGTTGTCGTTGAGGTGCAGCTCCTCCAGGAACCGGCCGCAGTGACGCAGGAGGTCCGCGACCGCAGCCGCGCCCGTGTCGCCCATCGCAATACCGCCGAGGTTGAGGATACGTAGCGTGCTGCGGCCGCCGCGCGCCACGATGGACCTGCCCAGCTCGACAGTGATCGTGTGGAGGCTGTGCACCGAGATCTTGGACGCGTGCAGGTCCAAGACGCGCAGGGTGTCCCTGTTGACCAACGCACGCGCCAGAGACGCTGCAGTGGGGCTGTCGATGGGCACCTTGCTCATTTTGACCACTCCGGCGTCGCGGTTTGCTTCGAGCGCGTTAACGACGAAGCTTGCAGTCATGTTGCGGCCGTCGAGGCCTGTCACGGTCAAGGTCGACCCATCGAGCTCGATCGTATGGATGGATCCCGCACCCGTCGGCCGCGCTTGCCCGTTTGCTCCCCCCCCCTGCCCGTTTGCTGCCTCCTCCCTCGGCATGATGATGGCTTGTTCCTGCTGTCCGGGTGTGTCGCGGAGCGGCTCGCCTGCGTGCGTGGCGTCGGATCGCAAGCGTGAGCTGCATGATGCGGAGATCAAAGAGCACAGCGGAACAGCCGCGAGCCGGCGCTGTTTCCCGCCGTCTG